ATAGCTGATGAGGTAAGACTCTTTTACGTCTAAAGTCTGCTTAAATCTAAGCTAAGAACTCAGTTCATCTTTACTAACACTTCTGTCCTTCCTCTGAAATGTAGTGTCTATAGCCATGTCTAATCAGCAGTCACAGAAAGACCAGAGCTACAGCTTTAAACCAACCAATTGGTATAGCTTTAGATGTTTATCTGTGCTCAGCGGGGTGATTCTACATTGTGAGTGCAGTGTAGCAGTACACAGCACACAGGGCAGAGGACCAGTGAATAAAACTAATTTTCATCAACACCAAGTTAAACACAAATTTTAATAGCTTAACTTCGGGGTTTTTTGACTAAACAATTTGTGCCACTGAAGGTCTTAATCCAATATTCTTACTCTTGCTTATTTTGACTATTTTGATCCTAGAACAACAACAGTAGGTCAAACACACTGTCAGTCTGGTCCAAAAGAATTATAAATTAGTGGTGAAAGATTCAGTGTGTAAAAGAATCCAGCAGATAGTCTTAACATGGCATTATACAAAGTTCACTTGTTATGAAGTGAATAGAGAAAAAAATGCTACCACCCAGATTTTGTAGCTTTCCACAAAGTTCCAATAAGAACCATGATAGGGACAATAACTTGCTATTTGTCACAGTATTTCTTAGAGTGAGCTTTTGGGCAGGGCACAAAGGATGGAAAATCTTAGCTAAATGAAATAATGGTCTCTTTTCATTTAGCTTACTGTGTGAACATTTCTGTAATAAGAAGCTGCCTGTAGTCAGTTTAAGCCGTCAGGGGACCAGGCATGTGTGATGGGATGTGCAGTCATAAAAGAATAGGTAGATGGCTACATGCATGATGAGCTGTGCAGGTTTCAGGCTTCTAGAAAGAAGTTTTAACAAGGAGAGACTCATTCAATTGACAGCTGGTGGGGAGGGAGACAGCAGAGCTTGTTCTTGCTGTGCAAATGCAAACTTCTTACTACAGACTTCCCACAGGAAGGAGGCCCTAATGTGGGAGGACCGCCTTCTTTGCCTGATTTAACCCAGGTTTTTCCAAATAGCAGTGATCTGAAAATATCTGCTTATTTCAGGCTCTGTAGGGCCCTTAGGCAGTAGGAACTGCTGAGAAGTGTCCCCAGAAAAGGAATAAAGTCTGGTCCTAAGGGTCTAGGATGTGCAATCTACTAATGAATAAGGCTTTATGCAGCATTTCTGCACAGTTCTAGGTGAAATTTAATTATATTAAAGGGCAACAAATCACTAGTCCAATTACATAACCCCTCTATGGCTGAAAACAAGGCCTGGATATAGTATTTTGTAGTTTTCTGCTGTGTGGTGGGTGCACATCCTTTGTTTCCTGTTTGAATTTCAGGTATGCCAGAATTACCAGGATAATCATGACCCAGACAAAGGGCTAGATCACCTGAAAACCTGGTTGCAGGGCTGGCAAACCAGCCCAAGAACAATGGTTCTGTAAGCAGCAAGAAAACTGAAGATCAGTTTCCTTTGAACTTGTATCTACTGACTGACTTAAAGCATATCATATAACTTAAGTTTATTCCTTCTTGTACATCAACTAATCCAGCAGTTTTCTCTATCTTCGGGAAAAATCTTTGTGCAGCTTTTCTAATTTCTGTAACTAAGAAGGATTTGCATCTTTTCCTAGAAAATAGATCTTATAACGTCTTGTTCTGGTTTTATGCATCTTCTTAGCCTTTCTCCCAATGAAAACAATAAATCTCTCTTCTCTGACCAGCTGCCTGTTTTCATGGTAGGAATTTGCAGTCTTTGAGCTACAACTGCATGCTAAATCTGGCTGCAACTGATGAATGGTTTTAAAAGCTTTTCTGGGCGAAGGTAGGTGTAAGCAGAGTGTGCTGGCACAAGCCTTGCTTCGCTGGAATTTTAGGCCACCGTATAGAAAGCCTACCTAAGGCAGATCAATGTTGTAAAAACTGCCCACTATACATTTGCTTGCAAAACACCCTGACACTTATATTTCTATAATTCTTGGCTATAGAAACACAAGCTGATCATCACTTCTGACATCTTAATTGTTACTTGGTTTAATATCTCTAAAGGGACTTGACTTTGCAGAGTGCAGATGTTCGTAACTCAGAAATGGGCCTCTTGAAGATGATCTCAAACTGAACAACTAAGCTAACTTCTACATTTCTTAAACTCTCTGGGGGCCCATTTCAAGTGTGGGTCAAGTCCTGCAAGACAGCAAAGGTCTCCTGGAAGTTGTTCAGTTCTTTCTGAACTCACTATCTTGAAGAAGGGTTGGATGGAACTGCTTTCTCATGCAAAGTAAACCAAGAAGCTTTGCCAGAAGATCAGTGTGAGATACAAAAAGGGACACAGTGCTCATGTAAATAAGCACATAGCAAGTAACTCCTGTGCAGCTTGGTTTGCTGTTTCCCCTTTCCAGCTATTTTCATTCTGCAGATATGCAAGTTATGCCAAACTAAGCTTATCTGTTCCAAACCTTGCCTTTGTGCACCTAATGGTTTCAGGTTCCCTTCGCAGTACTTCTCTTGTCCTACATTTCTTGAAAACTGCAACACTTCTGCATTTCTCTAGCTTTTGGGTGCCTGGAGAAGACTTTAGTCATTCCTTCATACATACACGTATTTCTGACAAGCCTAAAAGCAAATGTAAGGATTTGGGAATCATTCATACATACAAATGATTTAGAAGCAATTCAAAGTTGTCTTTCCCTCCTGCAGTTAAACAGAACCAGTGTCTAGACTGAAAATGTACAGTACCCATAAGCTCTGGTGTTTAAAAATATGAAGCTCTCAGCATAATGTAATACTGTCCTTGTTTCTAAACTCAGGTCTTGATTTCCATGCCAAAAGTTACAGATGAGTACTGTGAACTTAAGCATTTGTCCCAGCCTTTCTAGTTCTTTAAACTACTAAGCATTGCATTTTGCCAAGGGTAGGGTGAGTTGCAATTCCCTGCAAACCTTTTTGTCTAAAGGCAATTAAACACTACCAGTTGCTTCACATACCACACAGTCTTTTCACTGGACATGTGAGGCATTCTAATCCCTGAATCACTCTCCTTGGATAAGTGTTTTAAAATCTTTGGAGCTCTCTGAGTTTCTGTATTTTACAGAATTCTGAAACTAAGATATCCATACAAATAGTAGTATGTAAGCAGCTTTCAAGTGCTGTAAGATTTGGCATAATGCCAGAGATGCTTCTACCAACTGCTATTGTGGTTGATAATTGTACCTGAGAAAAAGTAACTGGGGACAACCTCCCCTCCAGCCCTTCTCTAATCATGGATAAAGACTCTTTGGATATCATTTTGAGTCAGTGGTTCCCTTGAACACTACAAAGGGCTTAAAGGCCTTGCTAAAATGTATCCTCAATTTTACAAGGTTAAGTGTTTTTTGAAAATGCTAGTCTTTTGATAGCTTGTCATAGTTTATTAACTCCAAAACTATTTCTAATAATTTTATGTGTAAATCTCAGTCACCTTAAATTCCTTTTGTAAACAGAGAGCACATGGAATTACATTAGTAACTTCCTGCTTCCTACAAGCTACACAGTGAGATTTTTTCAGTCAATTTCTTTTGCAAGAAGGAAAAAGGTACATATACATTAACCTAACACACTGGTATAGCAAAGTGATTATTAAATATTACTCACATTTGCTCTGTCTGCTTCATGTAAACGAACTTGACTATTTCCCCTGCCCCAACTAAAACCTCTGTAAAAAGAATAATATGGCATCTTCTCCTCTCTCCCAACTTTATCTTTTCAGAATAGGTTTGAAAAACAATAAATGCAAAAAAGCTACTTCTGTTGTTCTGCACAGTAAATTGCTTGGAAAATTCCAGCAAGCAAGTAGCTTTTGATCTGAGAGGAACTATTGAAGTACTATTGAAGTACTATTGAAGCCAATGAGATCAAATTATTCACAGTAGCCTCTCTAAACATTCAGAATACTACAAATATACAAAAGCCTCTTTAGAATTAGCCATACAGTTCACAGTGGGAATTAAAAAAAGTCTCCTTACAAATGACCTCTGTGGGTGTCAGATGCTGCTATGAAATTATGAAAAATACCTTGTATCTGCATTAGTCTTTACACATTTCATAAAATATTTAAAACCTCATAAAATATTAATTTGAAATTTTGCTAAAATAATGCTTTTTTAAAAAATTCAAGTTTGCATTACTGATTCCTTCAGAGTCTTTCAGGTCTAGCAAAAAAGAAAAATACCAGCTATAACCAAATTTTCTCTTACAGAATTGTAAGACTTAAAACTAGCAGTCCAGTGTGTACCTTTTGCACTAACACAAAATTTTATTGATTGGGTATCTCCATTTTAGTTCTACAGTTTGACAGCCCTGAATGCTTCTGACTTGTTTAACTCTGTGGAATATTTTTAAATGAATGCTGTAATTAGCATGAGAGTGCAGTTTTGTGAACAGCTTGAAAAGTTACCAAAGTGCTGAGGAGTTGCTATTCAGCAGTGATGTTTTTTGCCATTAGATGAGATAATTAATGTCAGTCAGCCAAAAACTAAATAAATATGCATTGTAGCTCAAAAGTCCATGTAAGCACAAGAACTGATTCTGTATATATTTGTGCTGGTCTGAACCTGTCTGTGCCAGACTGGTCATACCATTTTAGAAGCAAGTCCAGCCAACAGGATAACCGGGCTTTCAGGCATAGTTTGTGCTGTTGCAATCCTAAAGAGATATTATCAAGAATAGCAACTTTGTTTTTGCTAGTTCTACCAGCATTAACAAGGAAATGACACACTCTGATGTTACTTGCAAACTTTGAGAGGGAAAACTGGTATTTGTTGCTCTAATTCACCAGCAGTGCAACCTGTTCTCTCTTGATGTATTGCTGCTACATTTAATTTAATATTACAAAATACTTTTCCCGCGAATTGTAAATCTAGAGCATATGAGACAGAGTCTGCAATGTGTTGATATTCCAAATGCTTTTATGATGCTGATTCTCAACGAGTTAAAATTTACCTACCAAATCTGGTTTCAGTTTGTTGGTCAAAGGAAGAGAGTAGAGTATGGAGTATAGGGTTGTTACCACAGAGGAGATCCAAGACTGTCTAACCTCACGGCTTCTGGGAATGCGATGAAGGGTGAACTGGAAGAGAGCACGATAATTGGACCTGTTACTTTTCTAAGAATGTTTTTGTTCCTTCTATAGTGTTGCTACTTCTGTCTGTGCCAACCTTTTTTATATTTTTTTTTTTTTAAATCTAGTCTGGAAATGTTCGGGTATAAGAGCTTTGCATAGATGCCTGTGGTGTGATGCTTAGCACTCCTGGCAATAAAGTAAACACAAATACTAGAACTATATACCTGTTGTTTAATCCCTTCTCAGGTTACTTTAAAACATTCCCAGCGTCACAGCCAGCCGGGCGGAGGAGCTGCCCCGCGGTGTGTGAGCCGAGTGCGGCACCTCGTGGGCACCGCGCCGCCAGCCCGTCCGATCGCACAACCCGCGCACGGGGACTCTGCTGCCTCTCGCCTGCTTAAACCCTTTGTGCATTTACAGTGCAGAAAATGCAGCTGCTTTTCTCAGTTAATGCCCGGCGAATGCTATTAAAAAATGTAAAAGCAAATATTGCTATCCTTTAAATGAGTACCCAGTGAGTATTCAAGAGATATGCAAGATGCATATTCAAAATGTAAAACATTTGCATAAAGAGGAAAGAACATCTTATTATTAAATTAAAAATAAAGAAATAATTTTCTTTGTTCTTTCCCTAGGAAAAAGTAAAGATTATTTACTGTGTAAAAGATATCAAATTAATAAAACAAGGATGTTTTCTTCTTGTCTCAAAACACTGTGAGCAGGTAACAGCAGTTAGGCTACCGGCACTCTTCATAGGTGGCTTTTACTACGATGCAGAGGAGCTACACATAAAAACTACACATAAGAACTAGTGCTATGTCAGAAGGCAGTCCTTATGCTAATGAAATTTTTGACTGTTTAAACGAAAGACAAATATAAAGGCTGCAGTGCACTGCTCAGTGACACTGACACACTGCTCATGTGGACAGCAGTCCTTATCTCGCTTCATCGGGGACAGCAGATCACTACCACTCCAGAACTTCAATTGGGAGTGAGAAACACTAAATATAAATACTGAAAGCTGCCCAGTTAGTTCAAATACACACTGCTAATTATTATAGCTTAGTCCTGATGATTTGTGCCCAGGAAAGATCATGTTAACAGTGGCTGTACAGTAAACACAAACTACAAATCAGTCTTTAATAGCACTAACTGGGACTCTTCTAATATATAAGGTGGAAAAAATAAAAAAACCCCAACGTTTATAAATACAGACTGTTAATTTTCTTGGCCAAAATTAACTTGTTTTGTTGTGATATGTTTCTTTAATAGCTGTGATACCAAGAGGCATTAACAGATGTTATAAACTGTTTTTCTTATGTTTTATTTGCAGGTGTTGAAACTCTGATTGCATTACTCTGACAACAGAATATGGAAAAATAAACATGCCCCCTGCTCCCTGTTCAACAGTTTCTGGTTATCACTACCTCTCTGTTTCTTAAAGCTTTGGAAGAGTTCAGGAGATAAAAAGAAATGCTGTAAAGGGAGTTTAGACCCTTGCGTAGTACTCGGTCCTGGAAGAAATATGGGTATGATAAGACAGTTTTAGGCAGATTAGGTTTCAGTGGAACTATTCAGATGAACCTTCACTGTAAGAATGGTCTTAAAGAGTATTTGACAAAAAAAACTGCATGTGATTTTCTTCATCATTAAAAAACCCTAAGTAATTACAGTAAAACTTGGCAGGGACCCCAAACAGTATCAAAGAAGAAATTTACTTGTAGAATTCAAGTAAGAATCATGCTGATTTTATCTATTCTTTTTTAAAAGTATGCTGGAAGCTTTAATCCTTTACCTAGTTAATATTGGTGTATGCAAGCATGCAAGGAAAAGCTGGTGGAAAACTGCAACTGCTGTGAATTATTATAATATGGTCAACTGAACACATTGCAATGCTTTCACAGAAACTGGGTTTATACAGCTCTTTTTCACGCTGAGAAACAAGATTTCTTAGCATAGTCTCTCTCATGAAACAAAAAATGGAAACGTATGGTCAGAAGAAGTTTATGCAAAGGTTAGTTAATCTGGTTGCTCATCTCAGACATGACAAAGGGGAATATAAGATCCAGGGAAGAATTCATGTTCATCAGCCAACAAATCTAAGTTGTCCTTCTGCTGCTAGAGTAGGCTGACAGCAACTGAAGCAGGTTTTCTATGCTGAGCATAGAAGGTTCCCTGAGTAACAGCTCTGGGGGCATCCAGATGGAACAGTTGTGGTTACAGGCTGGGGGCAACAGTGATAGCAGGACCAGAGACTTTTCATAGGAGGTATTTTGGATTTCTTTTTTTCAAGTGACTTAGTAGGTTGAGGTACAGCATTTTTCTTCTTGTAAGCAAGATGCTCATTCTGGATTCTTTTCCTTCTCCCTGAATACTGCAGCTGTTAGAACTGGGCTAGACCACAGATTAAAAAGAAAAGTATTTGTGGGGTTTTTTTTACATTATAATTTTCTTTTACATCACTGATTTTCTATTAGGTCATTTCTCTAATTTGTCTTCCATCTGGTCCTTATATCTGGAAAAATTTACTTCCTTGACAAGATGAGGAAGGGAATAACCATGCGTGGAAGCATTCAGACTTTTCTCTTTCTATTCAAAGCTGTAAAAAGCTACAAGCACATTATTTTTAAATGCTCGATGATCTCCAGCATCCCCAGTAACAAAACACATACTATGTGCCAGTACCTGAAAGCATACTCTGAAAGTTAGCAAATACATGTTATAGGCATGGGATCTTTACTTTCCAAAATTTATCTTCCATTTTCTCTCTAAATACTTTTGCTCAGTGGAAAAAGAATGGTCAAAGGAAAATGAGCATCTGTTATCCAGACATCAAACTCATATGCAGCCAAAAATATTCCTCTGGCTTTCAATGTTAAAGGAAAATATAACTACATGATCTGTTAGCAGTTGGAGGGGGTATAAAAGGGAAGTTGCTTAGCAAAAACAAGTGAACTAATGGAAAATTATCTTTTAATACTCAAAATATGTATTTTTAAGAAATTTAATAATTTAGGGTTGGACATTTTTCAGGTAAGTGAATATGACTGTGTGAATGGCTATTTAGCAAACAAGATTTCTCAGAACAGGAAGAACCTTTGGTTGCTTTATTAAACTTTCATCCTCAGTGCAAAACGAAAGAAGAGACTGCCATGCTCAATTTGAACTAAATCATCCCCACTTGATCTGGCAGCTTGTGGGCTTCAACTTCCAAGGTGGAAGTGAGATAAGCAAACTTAAAAATGTCATTGCCAAGTGAGCCTGTTGCTCACCTGAGCAGCAGTTGCTTTACAGTAAAAGGATTTATTCTAAAAATCATTGGTACCAAGTTCTACATCCTTTTGTCCCAGTAGCACTGCTGAAGACAATGCAAGTGCACCGTATGAAATCGACACCATGTAAATAATTATTTTACTGTGTGTTGTACTGTTTGCTCAAAACGACTTAAGATTTTATAGTTAGAACACTCACTTCCATTGTACTTATTCTAATTTCTAAATAAAAAAATACCATCTTTCTACTAATTTCACTGGATGTCAGATCACACTTTAAGTCAGCAGTCATGCTGCTGTCTGTTAATCATACAGCAAACTAGCTCAAAGCAAGCAAATTTTTGATAAAAAGATAAACAAGATATTTTAATGATTTTTTTCATTATTTTTAGGAGTTCAGCATTTGCTCAGATCATCAGCCACAAAACTCTGACATTCAGAGGCCTTGCATGTCTTTTAAACATGTTTAATATTTTATTTTAAAATACAACCAAAACACAGTCTAGAAAGACACAAAACCAATACAATTTCAATTAAGGTTTACTTACATAAAACATTTTTATATACAATTTATTTTAAAAAAATACATTGTGTCATCGAGGGAAATGCCAAATTAAAAAAGAATCTGCCCCACCATATTTTTGACCCAGTATATTTATAGCTACAAATAACATTTCAATGGCTGGCTGATTTACAAAATTAAAAGAGATTTATTTTCAACATGTTTTTCTTGAGCAAGAGACAGCCTTCTTTGTACGGTCACTTTCACTACAATTATGTTCCCTCATTAGTTTAAATGGATTAACATATAAACAGGAGGTAAAGACTGTTTGAAGAGAAAGTAAGAAAGGTGGTTGTGAAAACTGGTAGCAAGAACAGCATTTGCTATTTTTAAGTAGATTTGCTTTGCATTTTCAGTGTCCCTCTAGTACACCAATAATCAATGGTGGTTATTTAGCTCACTTTTAGAAACATAAAACCCAGTATCTATAGAATGGCACTCTAAGCTGAACTTTAGTGTAAGTGATCATCAATACCCAGAAAATCAAAAGCACTTGCTGTTTGTATAAATATCCTTTTAAAGAATCACTTCCAAATTGCCTTGAATTAGAATGTCATGTTAAGATCATTTTACCTTACACGAATATATTTAACAAGTTACCTGTGATTTGGGGAATGTTTCAGCCCTTTTTTGTTCAAAAGAACGTATTTTAGCTTCACTCATCTTATCTGAGTCTGCAAAAACATAATGTCTAGGAGAGTAGGACTCTGACAAACAGCTAAGTAACCTCAGGATTTCTGTTGTGTGCCCACCTGCAAACACAAAACAAACTGAATTAGTATATGGGAAATTCTGTAACTTTCCATTTCTTCAGCTGAATCGGTCACTTTTCCTTTTAAAATGTGTTAGTGCTACTGCTTTCAGTGATGCTCTCCTGAGAGTAGAGGATTCAATCAGAGGATGATTAAGACTAAATGTTTAAATAATGTGGAGATAATGCACTGAAGCTGTATTGATGGATGTTCTTCAGCAGGGACTGTACTATCCCAGCTCATAATACCGAAATCAACTGGGCAGGAGTTTCACTCACAGCCGCTCCAGTGTAACAGCCTGGTGCCGACAAAACAAACAGTCCTGCTCCCGCGGGGCGCTCTGACCACTGCCCTTGAGCAGGTGTTCACAACCTTCCAACTGCAAGGTCACTTGATTCAGGGAGCTAAACTGGCACCAAACTGGAGAGGAAGTACTAATTGTGCTTTTTAGGGGGCAGGGTTAATCTTTTTTTGTCATTTGAGCTTCCTGAACTGAAGCTACAGGGATACTGCAACAGGGAAAGGGACAGAAAGAAGACTGCGTGTACAGGTGAAGTGGAACGGGCTCACCTTTTATCTGTTGGACTGGATCAGCTTAACATCAAACTGCACTTATGCTGTGTGCATAAGCATTTACTGGACATGTTACTTTGCTGGCAGTTACAGACCAAAACAGCAAACTAAATGTATTCCTACTACCTCCTGCTGACCAGGGTCACCAGGCTCCTAAGAGACCTGTTATACAGGTGAAGCACTTGTGACTGCTGAACGACTGACAAGCAAGGCAGGTGTGCCCTTTTACAAATGAGAGTTTGCCACCTTTCCACACAATTTCATGCTGTATTTTTCAAATATGTTTGGAGGTATTTTCTTGTGAGCAACGTTTGTTGAAGGTTTCACAAATTTTAATGCAATCATCTGAGCATTCACATAAGAGTAGGAGACTCCTACTTAAAGTCTCAAATAGCCTTGAACATTATATGAATCTTAACTGCCATGAATTATTTCACCTGGTAAGCTTATATATGGGGAAAGTACTCTTTTAATACAGACAAACTAGATTCCAAAGGACTGAAGGAAAACAAGCACATTTCCAGCCCTAGTGGAAGTAAAGATGACTTGAAGAATTATAAAACTGCCAGTGAAACTCAGATTGCAGGAAGATCCTGAGACCATTACTCAATTAGTTGGTGCACAGAAACCAAAGGGATACTGACGTGATGAAATCCAAGCTGGCCTGGATTTGTCAATTGCAACTTTTCGAATTAGTTTTTTGGGGCAAATTAATTGCCCTGCAACTTTGGGGAGGAGGTAACAAGGAGTAGTAGATGTGTGTGCCCCCCTTAGCATGGGGTGACAGACTTGCACAGCTGTACTGCCTCTGACGGACCCATGCGAGGCTCTTGTGAGTAAATCACAGGAACGTGGTTTGGGTGAATTACAAAACGCCACGTATGTCAGGGGTGTGTCGATCGTTGGAAAGCCATGCCCGGCACCACCATCAATAATTTTTCGTCAGCAGACTAAGCAGCTGCACAGGTCAGTCCTGCACCAGTTTATCGATACACTCGGGAGTGACTGGAGAAATGCACGTGCTGCCGGAGGGAAAGGTTCTGAAACACGGACGAAAACGCCCCACATGAAGACGTAGCCTAACAGTTTCTCAAATCGAGCACTAAAAAACCCAGAGACAGGTGGCAGCGCGGAGGGGGCCCGGCCCGGCCCCGGCGGGCTGCGAGAGCTGCCGTGGAGGGACCGTGGCACCGCGACTATAGCTCCCGGCATGCACCGGGGCCTACCGGCGGGCGCCGCACCGCGCTGCATGCCGGGACTCGCAGTTCCAGGACCACTGCGTGGCCGCTCTACGGCGCCATCCACTCCCGCTGGCGACAACCCCCACTCACCGGAGCCAGCCACCACCAGGAGACTGAGCGGAGGTGTCCGCCGGCCGCTGCGCCTCCTGGCCACGAGCGCCAGCGGGACGAGCAGTAAGGGGAGGAGGAGGAGGGCGGCCGGCTGCAGGAGCTCCATGGCGCGGCCGGAGCCGCTCCGCGCGGAAGCGGCGGTGGCACCTCCCCCGTACGGCGGCCGGCGCGGTTCAAACCTCCTCGCGCGGTGAACGCGGTGGGGGTGCCCGGAGCGGTGCGGGGCTGAGGGCGGCAATAAAGTATGAGGGGCTCCCTTGTGCGGGGTCTGTGTTCCCCGAGTGTGCGGGGTCTGTGTCCCCCGCGTTCCTGAAAAATACAGCATGAACCTGTGTGCCGGTCTGTGCTCCCGCCGTGTGCCGGGTGTGCTCCGCGCTCCTGCGAGCGCGGTCCCGGAGCTCCGAACTCCTCCGTGCGGGAGCGCGACCGCGAGTGTGGGCAAGAGCTGGCGCTCCCAGGGCCCTGCAGGGGCTGCGGTCTGCTAGAGGAGGTCGAACTGCCCTAATTCACCTGTAAACCGAGACATGCGTGCCGCAGCATGTGTCTGTCATGTGGCTCCTCTGGCACGTACAGACTCCTGCATCAATTTGCCAGCGTGCGCAGGCATAACACCGACCCAGGTACGTATGCTTCCATGCAGTTGTAATTTTCTATAATGCATAAAATGAAGGATATTAACACTTCAGTGCCTGTCGTGACTCTTGTTTTCATTCATTCCAATACCTTAGCTTTTTATTTCAGTAAGAAGCATGGAGCAACAGATCAGCACTCTTTTTGTCCCTGTCAGCATCCGCTCTTTGTTGGGAGATAGCGATGATTCAGCCACCGGACTAATCTCAGATGAGATATCTGTTTGCTAGAAAGAGTAAGATATTGCATTTTATGATTAGGAAAGACTTTGTTCATCCCTGTTCTTAAATTATTGCTAGGGAGCAAGGCCATCCTTTTGGCTGATGAATCAGGAGTAATGAACTCTGGAACTTTATGGAGCGGTTTGACACCAGTGCTTTATAGGCTGAGTTGTCACACATATGAAGCGTGACAGCTGTGCACTTGTACCTCAAGTGCACAAACACAATAGATCAAACACATTGCAATTCTGCATCTGCCTGCCATGGTTTCGAGGGCTGTTTTTTCCCTTCTTATTCCTTCTAAGCAAATTGGACTTTTTGTATCCCTACTGGCCTTGGAAGCTGAATGTTTCTCATTTTTAACAAAAACGTGCCAGTTGTGGGTTCCAGTGGTTATTGTGTAACATGCAATTAAATGATACGTGTTCTAGCTATCCTTTGTCATCTTAGGATCTGAAGTGAATCTTTCTGATTCACGCCTTGTAGTTCTACAGATTATGGTTTTTTTCTTTACATCAGTGTAACATATAATTTTGCAGTTGTTTTAAGCAGAGACTATTAAAAACAATATTACCATGGTAAGCTTGTCTTCCACCCAAATGAGTAACCTCACAAACAATATTTCACTGCCTAATCGTTGTTGACATTTTGGAGCAACAAGGTTTTAATTAATAGTTCTGTTGATGATGCATGAATTTTAAAAATTCATTTTGATTTCCACTTAATTAGCTACATAAAACTAATAAGTAGGGACAATAGATATGGATGTCTCTCAATGACAGAAGAGGAAGAAAGTACTACAGTCCCTTTCAGGGCATAAACTACTATGTTAAAATAAGCCAGTAAGTTCTATAGACAATTTAAGTATTAATTTTGACTGTGGTGATCTTTTCCCCGCTTGTACTTTCTTCAGTGAAAATAATGTCATTGATGTAGAATTTAGCCCAGGTTGCCACATTGGCTGTAGCTAGCACATGTTTTATTTAAGTTGTTTTTTCAAGATTTTTCAAGATCTTTCCTTTGCTCTTATTTTTTCCCTACCATAAATGTTAAAGAACTTCTTTTTATTAGGCATTTTTTTCCAAGAAACAATCCTGGAAACTGTGGCAAGGAGTTACATAAAAACCTTCAACTTCTTATCTCCTTTTCATGTTATTCCTTCTGTATGTACATACTTCTCCTTCCAATGCAAAATTCTTCTGTAAAGCTATTTGGTGAAATTGAAGAGAAACTGACCTAAAACCAGTAAAGTTGGAAGTTTCTGTTTGGTTGTTTTTGTTTTTGGGGGTTTTCTTTTGCTATGTAAGTTATTTAAAAACAAGAGGAAAAAATAAGAATGATACATGCAGGGAAATACCTGTTCCTTGGAGTAGAAAATTGAGGATCTGAGAAATCCTTGGATGTAAAGCAAAGTTGCTGACATTCAAAGAGTCTAAAAAGCTAATCAGTGAGTTTGCCTCATAAATTCCTACAAGTCCTTGAAGTCATCTAACTCATTGTTAATGCTGCTAGAGTAAGGGATTTAGCTTTCAAGTGGTAAACACAGAAGATTGCAAGGCTTGAGGGGAGAGTCAGTTTGGTAAGACAGGTTAAAATAACTAAAGACTGAAGCAACAATCTGCAACCTAGTTGGAATAAGGGTTTGTGGATTTTTTTTTTTTCCTTGGTGAAAATTGAGCAGAGCTCATGAAGATCCCACTTGCAGCATAACACTGCTAATTATGTCTTTTCTCAGTAGGACATAGTTGTATTTGTGTTTTTTTCATCGTGGCAACTCCCTGCTCGCTTGATATGATGTTCTTGGACATGGTAGACTTGAGTCTGAATCTGTAACAGTCACGAATCAAGCAGTTGCTCCTACTCCTTCAGCTGTGGCGTGTGCTCCGCGATTGATCTTGATCCATGAAGTGCCTTGAGAATTCTTCATCTCAGCATCAGACATCCACGTGAAAGTCAATGTGAAAAGCAGTGACTCTCCCAAAGTTTAGCACAACATGGTCATGTTAGCTAAGTAATGTGAAGCAGGTGAAGTACAGGACTACTGTGAGGAAGGCAGGGACTAGTGTTGGATCCTGCTCTCCAGTCTGCAAATTAACAATACTACAAGTGAGTGTGTGACCTGCACGTTTGGGAGGAAGCAGTGCACTTGGTCTGAAAAGTCATTTGTCAGAAGGTGATGCAAGTGCAGTAATTACAGAGGCTGCCTCTGGTACCTCTGCTACTGTTGCATGAAGTTAGCTTTGAACTTCTTTACTGAAGGAGAAATAAACTACACTTACTCTAAATACTTGATCACTGTTGTTCAACTCTGAAGCTCTTAAACAGGAAAAAATAAGTATAGTATTTTTTCCATGTACTGCTTGTGAGACAATGTTCCAAAGAAAAACCTGCTGCTACCCTTTTTAATATTAGAAATGCAAGCTGCATCTGGAAGACTCTAAGAGTAACATTATCATGAGTGTTGTAAAAACTTTTGTGTTTGGGAAGGAAAGGGATTTTTAATTAAATCAGTGGACTAGACCATTTGGAATCAGCTGAGTGACATGATGAAGCAGGCAGCTGATAAATATATAAGCTACTGGCTGATCTCACTTGAAGGCAGAATTAGGATGTTATCAGAGCCAATCTGGCAAAATTTGTCCCTTTTAGCAGCAGGTACTTTCAATTACTTTGGGCCCAATGCAGTTGCACTTTCGTATGAGTAATCAGAATTATACGAATGTAATCTTAGAAGTCCTGATTTGTATTTGTAATCAATAACAGCTGTAATATTTGTGTTAATGTTGGAGTTAGTGCTGTGCTTCTTGGTATAATGGCACTTGTATATAAATTGTAAATTATGTCTCGTTTAGACACAAAGATACAGCACTTGCAAACACTTAAACCAATGTTTGCTAAATAGTCAAAAAAGTGGAACCAAATTCTCCAAATCATGAGACTTATTCCATACTAAAAATCCTAAAAAAAATTATTTTTTTTCCCCATTCACATTCACTTTAATTTTCAGTGACAGACAGCAAAGTGGTTGTGAGTTTACAATAACTCAATGCATAAGGTATCCTTCCCTCCTACTATTTAAACATTTCCCTCTTGTTGGCAATGTTGTTTTCTGCATATAGTCTTTGGAAGTGGGGGAGGAGGTTGTTTTTAAAAATTTGTTTGGGTCTAAATACCATGTATGAATTTAGAATCAAAGTACCAATTTTTAGGGAAAATGTTTTCTCTAATAGGCATGAGCCATGGTGCTAGCAGATGTTTCTTTAACCTGCTACATCTGAGAGCATGTCTGGAGGGCTGGTGAGCATGGCTTTGATGACACAAGGTTTGGTAACAGTTTGGGTGCATTCTGAGTGTGCTTTTATGAAGCAAGAATTTTAGCAGTAGACAGAACCAAAATTACATAATGCCACTTGTTGTAATTACTGGGTAGCATGTTCAGGGAGCAGTTCCTGTAACATAATATAAAATAATGCTCTTCTGTCTATTCAAAAGGCCAGGAGAAAGAGACTGCCGTTTTACTCAAAAATACTGAGTGTTGTAGAGGTCCTTTGGGTGCCTCAAGCCACTCAGCCTGTAAAAATAAGGCCTTTTTAAAAAACATTCCTAAAAATAGACTTGAAGTCTAATATTAATTTCCTGGAAATATATCTTCAGATCTGTAGTGTTAAATGAAATTTGCAGGGTACTCAGAGGTTAGAATGTAGAAGTCATCTACATATTCACTGATGCTTTTTGACTGGGGTTTTCCTGAGCTTTCCACATAAGCATTTGTAAGGAGGATGAGGAGAAATGGACATTTGTTTAGCCTTTCCTGGATTCCTGCTGTCAGAAAACTGGCCGTTGCTTTTGCAGGGAGGTAGCCTGGTCTCATCTATCAGCTTGTTTCTGTGCACAGCTCTTCCTCACAGATTGAAAACCAGGTAGTTGTGAGGCTGGTGCTGCTGTCACAGGTCATGTTCTGGATTTCAGTGCTCAGCCCTCAGGATTCTTAGGTTTGAGAAAAGGGTGTCTCGCCCTTCTGTGCTCTCTGCATCCTCTCTTTCTGAGCATACAAAATGCAGCAGAACTGACACCCTCCAATGTAAGGACAGGTTCTTGAGTTAAAAGTGAGGACAGTTCTCTGAGCTGTTTAGGTTTCTAAAGGTCTAGCATTGAATTAATGACATGCTGGAGCCAGAAGGGGCTGGTCATATTAAAAGAGGAGATGTGTTCTGGTTTTGTTCCTCACTGTCTTTCATTTTCTTTTCCTCCCATTTTTCTTCTGTCTTTTCTGTATGCAGTTGTGTTTAAAAATATGTCTTTTATTGACCATTGTTTTGCGAATGCTGCCAGATATGGCTGTAGGTTTGGGGATTTAACCAAGTTCTATAAAAGTCAATTGAATGTAATGATTCCACTAGCTCTCAGTGAAGATAAATTGAATTCTTCGTAGAGTTTGCAAGTGCTGCCAAAGGTTTCTCATTTATTTATTTTAATTTCTGTATGTTTGTGTATAATTCTTGCAACACAAAATATTAACATTTTGAAATGTGAAGGTCCTTCTATTGCTTCTGTCTCTTAGTTAAAAATATGTAAGACGTCAAGCACAGCAAACCCTGTTAAGGAAAAGCTGACACAGTTAAAAGTCCAGCTATGGCCAATATAACTTGCCTTCTGCACTGTACTTTAACAGTCTTTAATTATGTGATAACATAAAATTTAAAACCAGATACCACTCACTTACATTTTTTTCATCAACCACAGGTGATGTGTAACACTGTTCTCTCTATGTTTGACAGTACAAGAAAAGAATGTCCCTGCCTATATTACAGTTTTAATGAATGTCAGGAAATTATAAATCATTTGCATTAGTTACTGTGAATTTAATGCATTGTTAAGGTATCAAGAGAGTTAGCTGGTCTATTCCCGTGGCTGTGAATTAAACAGTGATAATGAGACAATTAGTTATGATATTAATTATTTTGCTGAGTTGTGATTAATATATTACTGAAAAGAAAAAAAATATTACATATGTGGAAACACGAGTTTTTATGACAGCTTCCAATTTACTAGCACTGACCAAAGTCAAATAAATAATAGAAATGATTTCCAAAGAGGGATCTTAAAAGTGATTTTATACTCTTTTTAGAACACTTTGAAGAAAAAATATGTTGTTTTCTTGATTGTACCTTTTTATTTGAGGACTGGTACAATTGTAAACACAAGCAATTCTTAAGTAGCTAATAGTCAAACCAAGAGCTTTCATAAGTCTTGATTTTTTATATTTTTTTTTATTCAATTGGTGAACTGTTTGTAAGGTATACTGCGATCACCTTTAAAGAGTACTGTACATGCAAAGAGAAAAAAAAGTTTGTTCAAAGTGAAACTGAAGAGTTACTGCCTTGTGTTCGTTACCTTCTCCTTTTGTTACCTTATTTTTGTGATATACTTTTGTAATTAGGAATCAGATAATGAGAAGCCTTGATTCCTCTAACTTCCACAGTAGTGATGGGGGGAAGAAGTACAGTGTTCTCATCCAGATTATTTATTTCTTGTTACAACATAAAGGAGTTCTTTAGGACAGATGCTATGCAAAAGTCAGATGAAATGACTGTCCCTGTCTTAAGATCTATTGGAATATGCATTTTTTTAAAAGAAAGAATAATTACACAAGGTTTAGAGCATTACCTGCTCCAGCACCTGGCTTCCAGTATTTTTCCCTAGGATAACTTGACATAGAAGAGTTTGTTTGGTGCCCATTTGGCCTGTATACATGAGCATCAAATTTGTTGAATTCTGAACACCATGGACTTGCTGCATGATGTGTCTGGCACACCCAGTGAGTCAGAGAAGTCCAGTCCAACACTTAGTGCATATGTGTGGGGTACAGGGTGTCCAGAACACACCTGACTTGTGCACTGCAGAACATGGCATTAGACTAGAACATCTTGGTCTGCATATGTGCAAGTACTGCTGCTCAAGATACCTTGAATCATAAACTTTCCACTTCCAGCAGTGAGATTCCTGTTTCCACTGGGGCGTAATTTCCACATAGAAAAAGAGGACATTGCCAGAGGCACTCCAGATGTGTAATGTTCCTTATTCAGCAAATCAAATGAACAGGTGCTGAAATGTTGGCTCTTCAAGCAGTCCCAGTAGAATTATCACAGAAAAATGTCTACGTTTACAACAAAATAAAAGTAAGTGGGAAACACTGAAAAAAAAACCCCAAACACAACCAAGATGTTCTAATTCATGTATATCACAAAGCAATTTTTCTGCAATTTGTTTAGTTAGACAGTATGTTTGATGCAATTTACAAGGTGACTTTTCAAACCCACTTAAAACATTTGCATTTTTATGGTGGAATTCTTTCACCTTAGCATTTTTTTCATATATATACAATTAGCATATCATATATATATCACAAATACAAGTAGGATTATTTTTGTATTTTCCTTATTTTTAGTTATTCTTGGTTTTATATTCAGTATTTTTCTAGTATTTGTAGATAGCTGAGTAAGTCAATCAGAGTGAGTGTTACTCATCAGCAAAAATGTATGGTGTTGAATAGTGTAATTGGAAGTAGAAACCTAAACAAAATTCCCCACTTGATTTGAAAGGCAAGCTTTATTTCTGCATTTTAGCACTGATGTATTTAATGTAGTTTCTTCTCTTTTTGTATGTTTCTTACCAGGATTGTTGTCTTAAATCTTAGGTTTGAAAGTTGACTCTATTGAGCATGATCTTCCTATTATTGAGTACTATATTTGAGAACTATATGGAAGACAATTTCTTGTTTCCTTAGTCAGGTTTTTTTTGATGGATTTCAACAGCACTTAGACATATATAAAGTGAGTGTGCACCAGGTTTTATTGTTTCCTTGTGCTACCAAGTAATTTTCCTTCCTTTTTTCCTCAAGGCTTTCACGGATCAACAGAAGAATCAAAAATCACTAAAAATTATAGAATTTTTTTTGCCAAAATCTTAAAAATTGACAAAACACTCAGAGGAAATTATGTTGTCTGAAGAAGGTACTTTACCTTTTCAGGCTAGTATATCTGCCATTAAAATACCCTTATAAACCATTCTTTCCACGCTGTGGTGTGTGCTGAAAGAGGCACAGTTAAATGGTGTGCAGCTGCTATGGCATGTGCCAAAGTTTAGACTGAGCTAAGCGAGGCTTAGAAGCTTCTTTGGCATACAGATGACTGACACTGTCCCAACCATGCACTCTGTCTTTTTACCTGAAAATCTGATGCTATCACATAAAATAACAAGTATCAACAAGCACTGTTTTGTTCTCTACTGGAATTATGCTGATTTTAATTATCAGTCAGAACATTAAAAAACAGATTGCTTTTTGACCCTTTGCATGTTGAATTGTTGGGAAATAATTTGTTTGGTTTTTGCACTGCTTGGCACCAATTTCATGCTTTTCAATTGTATGCCATTACAAAGTACATCTTCTTCCATTTTCTGCTGTTCTGACATCATCAAGTCACTACCCAGTTCTACAATGCTCTTGTTGCTAAGAGCCTCAGCTCACAAGGCAAAAGGAAATATGTGCATGTGAAGAAAAGAATCTGGTATTATTTCAAGCTTTTTCCTGCTGTTCCTGGTGTGCTCCATGTTAGAGGTTAGGGAACCAAGAAGTTGCTCTCTGGTTTAAGCTTTTGGGAATGAAATGCTTTCTAGACCCTCAGTTTGTAGATCCCAAAGATGCAGCCAGGTGCAACTTTGTTTACTAAAGAGCCAAGGACACATTTAACAAAGCTGCAGTACTGTCTCCTTTATACTCCTGTGTGCAGGAACATCAGAGGAAAGAAAATGCATGGAGGAATGTGAGGTGGACAGTAAAGGAAGCTAGGGAAGGAAGAAAATAAAGTGACAGAAAAGGAAAAGGTGATAAGAAAGAAGAAAGAAGCTATAAAGTGGAAGACAAGAAAAAGAGGAGACAATGACCTGGAAAATAAAAAAAGAGATGGTGTTCCTGTGAGTTCTGTGGATCATACTTGGCACATCTGTCTTAATGTGGTTTGATGTTTTGTCATAATGCCGACATGGTGCATCAGTGTAGTGGTTTGTAATGCAGCAGATTAAACTCACAATGTGCTGTTTTACAGGTCCTCAATAGCTTCTGGAGGGTTATAATCAGGATAATAATACCAATAGAGAGGGTAATGCTGCAGGTGAGGTGTAAATAGATGAAAGAGACAGCATGTGATGAGAGAGATAAATGGAGAAGATAAAAACTGAAAGAAAACTGAAGAAGGGACAGGAAGAGGTTCCTGAACAGACAGCTTTCCAGAAACAAGCCTTTGTTCTATTACGGACAGTAAGTACTACTGGCAGAAATGCTGTCTCCAGTGGGGAGGTGACAGGAGCTAGGAAAGCTAAACTCACTGACCTCAGATGAAAAACTGAGGGTGGAAGTATAAATCATACTTAGAGGAAGTATACTAAAGCAGGGAAAAGTGAAGGTACATTACTACCTAGAAATGTGATAGCATGTGTTACAGTGACCTGTGCCGGAAAGGTAAGACACACATTCTGTAGCACTTGATCTGAGTAGGTGTAACACACAAAACTCACAAAACGTGTCTGCTGTTTGGAAAATGAAGATAACGTTTTTCCTCCGAGGAAGCATACAGCTCAGCAACTGTTAACTGGGTACCTGCAGGGTGTTTAAAAAAAAAAGGACAAGGCACACAGATTTGGGGGGTTTTTTTTCTATGCAATTTCTTTTTTTTTGAGAATTTTTTTGTTTTAGAAATGGAGTAATTTTTTTCCTTTCAATTCACCATTTTTCTTCTATTTTTCAGCTTTTTTTGATTAAAACCAAATTCAGATCCTTTCTTTTCAGTCTCCTCTTTTCAGTCTTAGGCTTTCTGAATTAAATACTGCAATATTAGCTGCCTGCAGTTCCTGTGATTGGACTCCATGGGTGGCCTGAGTAATTTTCAGACAGTGGAGCTGGTTCTTTTCTCACTCACATCAGTGTAACTCATTGGCTTCAGTGAAGTTACTCTTGATTCACAATGTTGTGAAAGAAGAATTGTGCTTGCTCTTTCATGTGTTCTTTAATCTCCACGATATTTTTGCTTACATGTATAATTGATTTTCTGGGAATATCTCCTGCTGCTGACAGGTAGACCTAGGAACTTCCTGAGACAGAAATAAATGAAAGCATTTCTTAATCCACTGCTTCTACAACACTGTGTTATATAATTTCTTTCATAAACTGCTCAGGTTTTAAACATTCATTAAGACTCTGTTCTTCCTACAATGGGTAAGTTCAGACAGAAAGGTTAGTTATGTCCTGTGTAAGTTTAAAACCACAACTGAAATAATTTTCAAATGCTCTAAAAGTATTTTCCTTTCTCACATATATCTCACTTTTCAATACAGCAACCACGATAAAGGCTTCCTTCTTGGCAAAAGGAGGCTCAGCTCTGGGAAAGCACAGCTCTGAAATTGCAGGCATGCTTTGGAAAGGTTACTGTGTATTTTCTATTCATGGTCACATCTCCCTTGCAGACTTTAGTGGGAGCAGTCATCTGACAATAAGTTTTTACCATATCTGAAGTGCCACTCTGGAAGTAATTCCAGAAGGAGAAGGGTATGGAACAGGTGTGTACACCTTGGCTGAGGACCGATTACCGCAGACTTTGACTTACTTATGTTGGGCTGCCTTCCCTTTACCACCCTGTGATAGCAAACCCCATCCATTTTATCCAAATTTGTTCCTCGTTTATGGATTTACTGGGTCTAATTGACATGAAGCTGAAAATCATCAATCTAACCAAGATGTTTAATTGTAATAAAAGCGTAGATGAAAAGCAGAGCCCATTTTTTCTCTTACATAGTGTAAATAAGATGATTCAGCTGATGCCAATAGAATTATGCTGCTATCCACAAGTGCTACTGTGATGCCTCTCTGTCCTCCTTACTTTTTCTATGGTCTTTCAGCATATATGCTCCCTGTTGACATGGAATATAATGTTATTTTTTGCTCTATGTTGCTAAATCTCTGTTCTGCAACTCACCTTAGCAAGCCCATTGCTCATACTTTCCTTTCATGCTGAGGCTGAAGCTTGTCTTCAGAAGTTGCAGTGTTACTGAGGAAGTTCTTGACAGTTGTCATTTGGCAGAGGTGACTTTGGTTTGCAGCAGCTGGAAAGTGGTGGCTGTACATCACAAGGGAGGGAGGAAGACGTGTATTAGTTGTGAAAGCCAAACTGTGGTCACTGTATAGCAGCCACGTGGCTGTGGTACTGCTCTGGTGACTTTTTGTCCCGCCCTTTGGCTACTGTCTTTCTGATGCAGAAAAAGGTGCACCAGTTGTATCATGCAAGTACAGTAAGCCTGATACTTTTAGAACTTGCTGGAAATGCTCAAAGTAATTGAGTGGTATGTTCATGCAACACTCTGTAGGAGTGGTAGAGTACTCTGGTGGTTTTGCTGGAATTACATTGCATATGCAATATGGGCCTAGTGTTTTTGCTCTGAGATTGCTGGACATGGGACCTCCAAGGTGAGGCTGCTGCATGTATGCAATAACATGATATGAGATTAGTAGATACCAAGAATCCCAGATATACAGACAGCTCTCAAAATCTTCCTGAAGAACACTTCTCATTGGAAAAGAGGGCAGACAACGAATCTAAGGCAACCTGGATTTATGGTAGCTGTATCTAACCATGTCTACAGGCCTTCCTGCTACTACAATGCCTTCATGCCCCCCTAGCCAGTTCTCTTTGATCTGGAAATTTTGTTTATCAAAAGTCTGAGAGATACTCTGCTGTACGCTTATGTGGAAGAGCAGTCAGCTCTGGAATCCTCAGTGCACCACCATTCTCAGCTTTACAGTTGGCAGCTTTGAACCCAGCACGTGTTGTTGGGCTGTTGAAAGAGGGCATTGCCTCTGGTCATGATCTGCTGCATGCTCAACAACGTGCTGATGGCAGGCCAAGGAGAGAGCAGTGAGGCAGGTCAAACTTGTTTCTTTCACCCACGCAGCACTGGGCCGAAGGAATTGTTTGCTAGGCTGTGAGCTACACAGGCCTGATTACGGAGGTTTGGGGAGAGTCTGGTTTGTCTTCTCCCAGATGCTTCCTAACCTGTTAAGTGTGGGTAGTTTTGAGGCTTAGAGCTCTGATAGGTGGTCTCTGGCAGAGTTATCTGTTCAGTTCAAGACGTTACCATTCTCAATTGTCTGTTTTAGCCAACTGCTAGCTAGGTATTACCACACTCTTATGATGGGAGATTCCAGGTTATAGGCTGGCATGTTAAAATCTACCCACTTTCATTGCTCTCCTAGAATGGTCATGACCTCAGGCAGTTGAGAGAAATAATATTTTAAAACATAGGAGCTAAATCTGCCAGAACTTGTTGTTCAGAGTCTTTGGTTCTAAACCATAAGTGGAAGGAGTCCTTGCTAGTGCCTGCAGGCCTAAGGACAACCATTCTTGCTTTTACTGCCACTGAGATCCTCTGTCACCCAGAGGTCCACTGCTTGGTTGCATGGAGTACTGGTATCATTACAACTTAAAAGGGCAAGGAGTATGTATAAAGGCACTTCAAAGTCAATGATATCGTATTAAGAAAAAGTGAGGGTTGTTCTTTGGAAGGTGAATTATTGAAGAAAAAATTCTCTTGGAATTTTTGTAGTTTATGTCATCTTGAAAGTGGTTGATGATCCCACCATGGAGTTCTTAGGTTTTAGTGGCTGTTCTGATTCACTAAAAACTGCAGACATAGTAGAAAAATAGGTTGAAATCTTCATTTATATGAGGAATAAAATTATATCACATCAGAGTAAAAGATGAGGTTTTAATCTTAATTTCACTAAGAAATGGTGTTGATATGATATTGCTGTCTTTATTTATCCATCTGTTTCTGGAATGGAAGAAGACTGGAAGCAGGACCGGGGTCTCCTCCTGCACTCGTCTGAGGACGTCTTGTGGAATTTTGTTAACAAAAATAATTTTAAAAGCTGGTCAATCATAAGACTCAAGTCCACAGGAAATCAAACTTCAGTAGTTCTGATGTTTACATATACACTTACCTGGTGGATTAAGCCAAACTGGCTGGAAACAGTTACGGATACTGGCAGTGTGCCCTGCCCACCTCCTACAGGTTACCACTTCTGCAGCAGGAATGGCTCAATGCCTTGTTAATCAGCACCTGGGTTTCTGCATTTCCCAGATCGGCCTATTAAGGCAAGCCATCATCAGTTTCTGTTCAGGCTTAAGCCATAGCATTCCTGCTGTGGGAGATGTCTTGCAAGAGCGATCACTGTACACAGAGGGGTAGATGATTTCTTTCTCAGCTGAAGCTTAATCTATAGGGTGAGACATATATGAATGCCTTTAACATTATTTTGTCTGAGAGAGGAGAATTTTTAAATTATTGATCTGAAAGATCAGCAATGCTTAACGGAAATGAAAAATTGAGGTGGTTTAGGATGTGGATTATAGCAGAAGGATGCCAAGAGGAAGAGAGTCATGGCCATTAGTTGGTAAAAGACTAAGTCTATCCATCATATTTGTCAGCGTAATTTTGCTTGTTTGAATTTTCAATACAACAGCTAAAAATGTAAAATGAAAAAATAATTTGTCATAAATCACATTTAATTTAGAAAATAGCAAATATTGGCAAATACCTGTTCTCTGTGCACAAATAGATTCCTAGTGCACGAACGGTCACATCAGCATTTTCCCATTATATATTTCAGACAACGGGGCCATATAGACGTAAAAGGCATAGTGACTAAAATGTTGTTGGAAAGTGAGATGCTATGCTTTACTGGGGTTTTTGCCCTCCCAACGCATACGCCGTTCTCAGCCATGTCCATTTAGCTCCGCCGGGCGCTGTTACCGCGGCTGCGACCGGGCCGCGCTGAGGAGCGGCAGGACGGTCCCGGGCTGTAAAACATCCTGGGTTGTGGAGCCCCGCTCCGCGCGGCTGCAGCGCAGAGGGGGCGGGCGGGAGGCGCCGGGGAAGCCGCGTCCCCCCGGAGGCGGCGAGCGGACCCGGCGGCAGGTGGCGGCGACGGCTCGGCCCCTTTAAGGCTCCGGCTGCCGTAACTCGATCCCAGCCGGAGCATCCTGCGCTCGGGAAGGGCTGTCCCGACCCCGATGGAGGAAGCGCCGCAGCCCCCGTAGCCCCGCTCCCAGGTGCGACGGGCGGAGAAGGGCGGGCGGGGGGTGCTGACCGGCCGGGCGGGGCGGGGGCGGTGCGGCCCTTTTCCCCCGCCCCGCGGGGCCGCGCGGAGCGGCTCCTTCCCTCCCTCCGTCCGCGTCGGTCCGCCCCCGGGGGCCGAGGGCCGCAAGCCGCAGCCGGCGGCGCTGGGCACGCTGACAGCGCTCGGCACCGCGGCTGTCGCTCTCCTCCCGCCGCCCGGCAGCGGCAGCGGGTGGCGCGGGCGGAGCGAGCGCGGCGGGTGAGCGCTGCCCGCCCGAGCCGTGTGGGGCTGCCGGGGCGAACGGCGCTCGGGGAAGGCGAGGTAACGCCCGGCACGGGGGCAGCGCCCCGACCCCGCGGGGTCGGCCTGGAGCGGGGGGGGGGGGGTGTCCCTCGCTGTGGGGGGGTTTCCCTCGCTGTGGCTTCGCGGCTCCCGGTTCCTTGGAAGGTTTGAGGAAATTCGGTAAATGGTATCGCAGCGGACACCTCACCCTTTATAAAAAGTGAGCCTAATCTGCCGGTGACTGTGGTGTTCTAAGAGCGGAAAGCAGAGTGGAGTTTGGGGGGTGAATAGCCTTAAATAGAAAGGGGATGGCTTAAGCTGTGAGTAGCTTGAATTTTGTCATGTTTCTCCTTAATGCTGCTTACTGAGCTAAGTAAGATATCAAACGCAGTACATCTAATCTAGCTGGAGCAATAGAAACTACCCTTCAGAGCACAGCAAAGCTCCAGCACTGCAGATGTTTTATTACTGGGTTTATTAGAAAATGTGCAAACAGTCCAAAGTTGCTCACTGCAGATTGGTGTGACAAGTTTTACAACTATGGGATTTGGCTTTCAGTTTCAAGCGGATCAGGAGAGAGCATAGGACTGAATGGGATGTCCTGGTATCACTAGCAGCTTTAGATTGTAATCTTGTTTGGAAATTGATCCAATTCATCTTGAAATCCAGTCTTGAAGAAAGTAAGGGCTGTGGGCCTTAAACCTTCATCTGTACCTTCTTACCATGTCTTGTGGCTATACTATTGCATTTCTTATTTTTATGATGTGAAGAATTGATGTGGAAACAGTAAGATGAGGGGAACATAAATGTTATATGCCTTTGATGGTACAATGCTTGGTAACTCTTCTGCTCCTTTATCTTCTTCCAGTGAGTACAGACTTGTTTCTATCAGAAGTTCCTACTGTTTTCATATTTGCGGTGAATGAATGTGGAGTCTTAATGTTGTGCTTTTTCTTCTAAATTTCAAGTAGAAATAGAATTGCAGGAAAACCACTGCATGTTAATAGCAGATGAAAAACAACATATTTTTAGCTCTTACTGAGTATGATGGAAAAGCTGTGTTATTAAGTTTTTCGAAGTTACTGGTTCAATAGAGTAATTTGAAATCACACTAGACGTATGTAAGCAATATCTTGCTGAAAATTGTTACTTTCAAGTGTTTGGTAGTGTTTATTTACCTGAAGACTTCATTGAAAAGCTGAAAGAGTGAAGTTCTAACCATGTGTAATTATTGTCTAACTGAATGGTTAAGACAGTAATTTTGGCTAAGCCAGGAAAATACTACTGCTAAAAAATTAGTGGTGAAGAACCAACCTGGATATAGTACTTTTTTCTCCTGAATTACAAAGTAGTTACACTAAACCTCCCTCCCCACCCAGCCTTCCACTAGCTCAAAACCGGCATCAGCTGATTGAATGGTAATCAATGACTATGCAGTTTGAGTGATAAAGTGTCTCATGTATAATCCACTAAATTCTGTAACTTGATCAGACTTTGCTGGACAGCTATAAGAAGGGGAAAGAAACATAGTATAGTTGAAGCTGCCTTTGACCTACTAATTTTGGTCACTGTCCTCAGGGCAAAGAAATTGTATGTAATCAGAAGCTTGTTATGTTTCTTTTAAGTCATAAGCTTTTGTTTGACAACATGAATGTTTTTCTTGTAAATTAAAAGGGAGTCTGCTAAACAACAGTTAATTTTCATGTTAAACAAGATATAGTTGAAAATGACTAAGAGATATGAAAAAATGTTTATGGCTGAACAGTTTTTTCGATCTCACATGAAACACTGTGTTTACACCTGGTCCTTGAATTGAATTAAAATACAACACTATTAATTTGCTGAATTAAAACATGAAATTATTGGTAGTTCATTTACTTAAACAGCGTCTATCATGATAAGCTTGTATGAAATCAGGCTTGCAAAACTTGGGTATCTATGAGACCAACCAGAGAGGCTCACTGACTATAGTGTCTTCTCTGCCTCTCTTCTCTAAACCATCATACCTTTCTCCTTTGTGGGCATCATTGTTCAGTATTTGCTGCTAAAACTCCTAAAAGTCAGATCAGATGCTTTCAGTGAAAGTTGCTTTTCTTAAAATAAGGGCCCTGTACAAGTTTCTTAGGAGAAAGATTAGTCTTCTAATGCATTTCTTGCAAGGGTTGGTTGGAAGGTTTTTTTGTTTAATTCCATAATTTGTACTAAAATGAACACCTGTCAAACACTGAAACATTATGTAATAAAATCTTCTAGTACTAAGGAAGCAAAACAAAACATGACTTTCTCTTGTCCAAGAGATTATGTCAGTGTCTTTGAAACTCAGAAGTACTAGTGTAGTCACTGCAGGTGAGTAAAATCTGTAGCATCACGAGAATTGCTATATTTTAGTCAAAAGGATGAGATAGGTGTGATTGATATTCAGTGATTTTGCTGTTTTTCTGAAGAGAATTGTCCTTCACCTGGATTTTGGCTTCCTTCACTTTAGGAATTAAATCAACTAATTTTTTTTTTTTCCTTACATTGTCCAAGAGGAGATTTGGTTACTACAAATGAGGTGATGTAATAACAAAGTTTTTGGCCTTGGGAGTAGAATCTGTAACATACAGCCCTTCTCAATGGGTTTAAAATGGAAGATACTAAATTCATTGTTTCTTCAGATGGTAAAGTTTTAGAAAATCAAGTTTAACACCCATTGACTCAGGTACTTTAAACTGTGTAAAAGCTGTGTAAAGTTTGATTTGTGTTTTGTATCATCTTGGTCAGTGGAGGCAGATGGAGAAGTATGTGGAGAATTGAGGATACTGAATATTCAGGATAGTAATTGAAATTGGAAGTTTTAATAGAGTAACATTAAAAACTATGCAGGATTAGTATGCTGCTGAACTAGAACAGGTAACCAGAAAACAATTGGAATCAACTAGTTTGATGCAATGCACTGCAGCATGTGTACATTAAAATTATAGTTTGGATTAAAAATGTGTTTAGGAAATAAATCTTCTGATCACCCCCACTTGCTGCCCTTTGATTTGTGTTGCGTAGCTATCCCAGAGCATGCAAGCCCTAGCTAGGCCCTAGGAGCACATCAAATATGTTCTAAGAACCTTGGAGTCCCTAGGGCAGGATTAAAGGCGGTCTGAAGTAAACATATGCAATCCATATGATATAGGTGCAGGTTTAACTCAGCAAATCTACTCTTATTTGTCCTGCATTCTGTTTATATAGCTGTAGCTCTGTGGGTACCAGTCAGAGGATGTTTATTGCTCTTCAGTTCTGGGGAGAATAAATAGAAAAGGAGATGGAGGGGAAAAATTTGAGGTCATCGAACCTTCCGCTACTACATCTTTGAAGACAAAAGTATTTTTTTCCTGATCTACCAGTTTCAATATACTCATCATTTACCCTGCAAAGTAAGAATATTGTACTTAATTTTAAAGAAGTTATTATTTTCATTGGTGGACTTCACTATTTCTTTTTCCTGCTGAAATTCAAGTTTCTTACCACCTGCAATGCAGATACAGTTTCAAAAATCTAAACCATGTTCACTCATTCTGTAATGCATGTGAAATAAAGGTGGAAGTAAGTGTATTATATAATTGTATCAGTTTTTGCTGACCATTCGGTTGCTTTAGTAACATTAAGTTATGCTATTGTATAAGTCTTAATTTTATTTTTATATATTTTCATAAGTAAAACCAAAGTGACAGCAGTTATTTGAATAGATACTTAAATCATTATTTAAATATTTTAAAGGAAGTCTTTTGCCTTTCTTTTCCCCTTTTCTGTTTGACTTAATGTAACTTGATGTTTTATGAGTTTGTAACCTCTGCCAGTCTTGGAGTATGAAACACATCACCATCAAAGTGGAGATGTATGTCAGAAGTTTGTGGCTTCTGGAAAAATATCATTCTGTCTTGCAAATACTGGCGACTCGGGCAAAATGACTGAAGCATTGAGAGACTGACACTTATGTTTAGAATTGCTGAACTATTTATTTAGACCTCATGAAACAGCTAAACATGCAGCAACTGAAAAGTCCGCTAGCTCTGATGATAGGGAAGCTTTTCAGTATGCTGTGAAATTGTGCAAAGTTTAGACTTCAGTGATGAAGAAAAGATCTAAAATACAGATGAGCCCTCAAGTGTGAACACAGTGCAAATTGAGAACTATTATCTCTGTAAAGTACACAACCAGAAAGCTGCAGTGAGGCTATTGCTCCCTGAGGCTGACCCGAAAACCTGGCTACTATGCTTATCTGATTTCATTGTTGTGTTTTAGAATCCCATTGGCAGCAGTCAATCTGGTAAGAATGAGATGAGTTTTAACTCTGGAGCTTCTTGGGACAGGAATGGAGGCTTTAGAGCTGGCAGTTGCACTAGTTATTGGTCCTCCCTGACCTTTCTGTAATGATAAAATACATGCAGCTTTGGGTCACAAAAATGTATATAGTGTGCAAATGTTAAAAACAAAACCAAATGCAACTTCTAGATATAAAACTCTGGGCATAATTTTATACTATTAAGGCTTAAGTGGAAACATTGAACAGGTTGAAACTTTTAGTGAATAATATTTCTATTGATAAGTTGCCTGTCAAAAACACTTTCTGTGTCTGCTTAAAATAGTTAAATGGAGAATGGACTGAAATTACCTTCTGCTTCTCTTCACAGGCTGAAGAACAATGGCTTCCTTCAGCAACCTGACTATCGGCATTGCTGTTGCCAGTTTTACTGTATTTCAGCTCCTGTTCCATGTTTTAAGTTCCTGGGTGTCAACACGAATAACACCCGGTTTTAAAAATCTCAGCCAAAAAAGGAAGATTGAATGGAATTCAAGGTAGAGTGTTCAAAACCACTACAGCTAGTGACCTACCTGAAATCATCAACATCTGAACCACCCGTGTGGGTATATATAAGACTGCAGAAAACCTTAGTAGTTAATTATTAGTTAAACATATGTAAAGATCTGAGGGCTGGCTTCAAGCACTCGACAAATTATGCATATGAAACGTTGAGACCGCTTCATGAACACACAGCATTACAAACACTTGTACATTAAACACTTTGTTAAACAGTGATGCTGATGTGAAAGTCAGTAAAAAAAGAAAACAGTGCCTGGTGAGAGGTAATATGCTGAAGTGACGCTCTGTGACACTTCTAGTAAAGAGAAGAGATACAAAATTCCATTTCAAACTGATATGAAAATCAAAACTATTGCAATTTATTGCATGATCTAAATGCTAGCGTATCTATGGGCATGCTTTTGGGTGCGGAGCAGTTTGCTCTCTGTTTTCTGGTGCTACTACACTACAAACTGTTTTATGTAAGTTATGGTTTTCCAAGAAATTTAATATTTGGTATAGTATTTAAGAGAGTCAGGTTTGACAGGTACATCTATGTGTTGACTGGAAAGGAGACTGCAATAAGAAGAAGCTATGGCAGACACAGGGTATACATTCAGGAAGGAGTTGTGGAAACTCCATCTAAAAACCTTCCTCACTCCTTTTGTGTTTCTGCATTCCATCACTGAGATGGACCCACCTGCATTACACTTGTTTCCTTAGATAGAACACTGTTAGAAACTTGTTCAACCCTGTAATTCTTTCCTGGGCACTTCCCTCTCTCTTAAGCCATAAAAGAAGTACACGGTACTAATTGCAAATGGGACGATCAGCGAGGTTTTATTTGCAATATACTACTCTGAGAGGGTATTTGTAGTACACAGAGTTCTCCAGTTGGTACAGTACAACTTTGTTTGAGTAGCCTATTACAACTTTAAAATATTTTTTCAGACCTTTATCAAATTTGAAGCTCAAAAATATGTACTGTATGGCTGTCACTGCACTCAAAATGCATTAGTTGCATCACTGTTCCTCCTCAGTGATGTTTAGAGGTAGTATCAGGTGGATACTTTTAAAGTTGTTTCCATTGTTCTAGGCAGCATTAGCAATTCAAATAGTCTTGCCCTTCCATTTGGCAAATGTCCGCTTGCATTGTTCTTAAAGGCATCATCTTAATTTCAGTTCCATCTTTGAATAATTACCTATTGCCAGAACAACGTTGTAGGATGGCAGTTCATAATATCAGTGCAGCTTAGGTTTATCTCTCTGTTACAATTGATAATAGAGGCAGACAGGGAAACTAAACTGTTAGCATTTGGAGCTGAACTTCTGTCTCTAAGCCATATCAAGTGGCCCTTGAATTGCATAATAAGCTTTGTGAGAATTTACCCCATGTGCTGGTGTAGTGCTTTGCATAATAACATATGAATTGTTTCGAACATAACAAGTGTGCTGGAAATAAGCTGCTCCATAATCTCTGGGCTACTTTGTAGTAAGATGTTTAACTGCTCAAGTTGATACAGCATCCCAGGCTATGTCCTTTTTTACCTCTTTCTGCGTTTTTTCTTGGGCTTGATAGCAGGATGTAGATGTTGGCACAGAGATGAGCTGTGATCCAGGACTTCATCCGTTTCTGGAGTTAAAAGGCATGAAACACAAACCATGGTTCATCAACAGTTTATTGATGTTATACCTGAGGAGGGCATGAAGTGAAAGAAAGGCTAACTGTGCTTGTGCTACTTCAGCTCTGCTAACCAAACACAGTATTTGGTCAAACTGCCTCATCACTCCAGTATTTCACCAAAATTCAGAGACACCTCAATCTTGTAAATTCAGAGAGGGTAGATGGATATATATTTATTCTACAGACAGCTCTGCAGATAAAGTTACTGTTTCCCAATGAAATGAGTTGGGTTAACTTAAATGATTTAAAAGTAGATGGTTGTTATTTTGTCCTGTATTGAACTGGTGTAGGGAGTGTACACACAAATGATTCTGTTGGCAGTCCTGAAGGAAACTGGCACAGAGGATGGTTATGCATTTTTATCAGCTTAGCTGAGTCTGGAAGAGTGCATCTGCCTGAAATGGGCTGTAGCATTGAAAATATATTGTTACAGTTTGGAGGGCTTTGTAATTAAGAATTTGAGCTGCAGCTCTTTCCATACTGTCAATCTGTTCATTCTGACCTTCCAAGAATTAAGAGCCAATAAAGTAAGTGGTTCTGGCCTCTTAAGTATGCAGACGCTCAAAATGAGTTAAAAACTATATTTTGACACAGATGTAGTATAACTCCTCAAGTTGTTGTGTATAAATTCCTGTCACCTGTCCTATAATATGTTTGTACTGCTATTAAGTAGTTGTGAAAAAAAATATATATTAATGAAGGAACAAGTATGCACTGCTGAATTGCAACATTTTTGTTTGCAGTTTAATGAGGAGTTAAAGGATGCAAGCTTTGACAGGAATTTCAAGGAAATGTACGGAGCTTGATAGCTTGACCTAGATTCCATATTAAAATGCAGTGTTGTACTATTTCCCTTCTTCTGTCCCGTCTTCTATGGAGAAACTTCAGAGTTAAGGAGGAAATCTGCTTCTGCTGCCTTTTTTTTTTTTTCTTTTATTTCTCCCCCTTCAAGTGCTATGCTTGTGTCTAGCTTGTGTTCTAAACACTTAGGTTCGAATAAACAGCCACTCCAGAGACAAATGCAACTGTAAACTCATGAGTATATTCTAGGACAAATTTTCCTTCTTGCAGCATTATCCTCTCCTCAAGTTCAAAAATTCCAGGTTATTTCTCAAACACTAATACTGTGTGCCTTACTTTGTTTTAAAAAAGGAAGCAAAGTTCCTATCTTTGTTAATTCTGTGTTGTAAGACTAGACCATTTAATTAAACAATTGTCATTACAATTCCAATAATTAAATTTTCTTTCTTTGTTAAAAAAAAGGGGGTGGGGGTAAATGTAACCTGTGCTATAATGGCTATAAATTGTTCTCATCTAGCTTCTCTTCTTGACTATTCATATTATATTAATCTACTTTAATTTGCTGGAACACTATTGAAAAGGTGCTGAAAATAACACGATGACACTCTTTAAACAAATTGTAAATAGAGTCTTCTTTTATGAAAAGTTACAGAATTTTCTATTGCCAATAGATAATAATATAACTTCTGGAAACAGTATAGGGATTATAAACTGCTCTTTCTTTGCAAAGTCTTCCACAGGAAGGAAGATGTTTTCTTCAAATCTTGAATGGTAAGAGTTTAGACTCCTGAGAGTGCCTTAAGGACATTTAAAATATTACTGACCTCCAAATACGTGTATTCAATGTGTACAAAGACTAGTCTAGTAACTAACAGCATTTGTACATTTGTGTGCATATTGTTAATGCTGTGAATATGGTGTGAAGATGTTTCCAATCACACAGCATTGAACCTAGTTCTCATCTTTCAAACAGTATCCATGATTCAGTACAGCTGTTTTGTCACATAATTTTTCTGTATTCCTAGTCACACTTGAAAAGTGGGAAAGTGGACAGTAGCTACACAATATTAGATGCAGTTTATAGTAGTGTTAAACCCATGGCTAGAGAAAGAAGGTTACACAGTTTGGACCCATGCCCATTGCATTGTTCTACCTTCCAAGAATACATGTGGACTCAAAAGGGCAGGAGTGGTGCTGGCCTGTGTGCTGGCAGAAACCCTGCTGGGGCCTCTGTAAATAGGTATTTCTCTTTAAGTGCTTGTTAACATGCAGAGTTTATCTGCAGTGTGTATGCAGCCTGTATACTGGAGACTATTGTCTTTGGAAAAAAAAAGTGTTGAGTACTTGAAGCAGAGACAAGGCAACTGATTACTGTGACATATGGAAGGAGAGAAGTATAAAATAAAGCTGCAAACTGCTAGTTCATATGAACCTGTAGCTATTATACCTCGGGTACTCAGCTACAACATTTTGTTATAAAAGTTTTATCTTTGAAAACCAGACTACTTCAAATGCACTAGAAGTTGTGTCTGAAAGTTAAGATTTTTCATTTAATGCCACTTTCCAAACCGGAACTTGGCAGACTTGTTATGGGTCATCTATTAATTTGGTGCCTGAAAAGAGAAACCTGCTGCTGCAGGACTCATGAGCCAATCCGAATATGAAATGCACAAAAATTTTCCAACAAATGGGAGAATCCAGAAAGCATTTGTTAGGGAACTAAATATCATATTGTCTTTAAGGATTCATTAATATATGGAATAATTGGAGGAAAATTTAGATCCTTTTTGAGGCTCTACTTTCTATCTAGTATCGCCAATCCCGCTCCAATCTAATGGATTCTTTCTTTTTGACTGTTTTTTCCTGCCTGTCATTGGGTAAGTGGCTGGATATAGCGTAAAGAGCAGATGACTGTCTTCCACAGAAGTATCTGGATAGAGTTGAGAATGTCTTTGGAAACATCCTACCTTAAGCACAGTAATAAGAAGTTGTGAATGGCAGTATGCCATTGTGACTGTGATCTCTTTTTCAGGACAGTGTCCACATTCCACGCCTTGGTGGTTGGAGGGTTTTGCCTATATATTCTATTGTACGATGATGCTGTTAATGCTGACCATCTCTGGTAAGGCACGTTACATATATATTGTGTTTACACAATAAAATAACATAATTGAGGAGAAAAAAAAATCCTGCAGTGTATTAATTGCTGAAATAATTATTTCATTTCCCTTTAAAATATGCAGTTGTGATGTGTCCATTTTTATGTCTGTACTATTTGAAAATCTGATAATTATTTTGTCAGTATTAATGTCTTAGTTCAGCATCTATGTGTTCAGAATAGGTAAAATACAAGCAATTGATTTGCAATAGCATATTAAATTACTAAAGAGTAAACTGTGACTAAGTCAGCGTGACTGAAACTATGCTCTTTAATAATTCTAAAGTGAAATTGAAAAGCTGTTACAGATCTGGAGAGTGTATGTCTGTGAAAGTTGGAGTGACCTATTATATGTCTAAAATATATATGTCTAAATTGATAAATGAAGATGTTTATATTTCTGTCTCCCATAAAGCTCCTTCAATCTTCATTTTAACAAAAGTATGAAAGTTTCAAGAGCTAAACACTTCACAAGCAATAGGAATATTTAATAAATGGGCTTCTAATATTTTATCTAGTTAACAAAATATTCTATAGTAAGCTTATATTTTATTGATTTTTTTAATGATATTGTTTTGTTTCACACTTTTTTGAGGGAGGAGGAACAATATGGCTTCATTTTGTTTGAGTTAATTATAGATTGGTACCAGTGTTTTGATACTTCACTCATTACCCTCTGGAACTGCTTCCCTATAGAAGGAGGACACCATATTTTTCCTGAGGAATAGCTAATTATTTTAAGTTTCATTTCATGTTTCTGTCATAGACTGTTGCATTTCACCTTGTCAAAGGACCACACTGGGAGTCAGTTTAAACTCACATAAATGCAGTATCTGATGCTTGTTCTGCTCTTACATTATTGTAAGTTAATGACAATGTAGCATGGACTAGACAGGATTGGGTTCTTGAAGCATTCTGCCATGGACCTGTTATGTGGCTTTAATAAATGTAACACTAATGCATAACACATATTTAGGCAACATTGGCCTCTTCCGTATGTAGTGATATATGATTAAGTTGGCTGTTTTTTTTTATTGCATCCTGATATCTTTAGAGAGATCAAATACAGTCTGAATATCTTATGAGATCTGTTAACCATGTTGAAAAGCAGCATGTTATTATGGCTCTCTTGGTGAGTGTTGTAGGCTTTATCAGATAGAAGCTTTTATCCTAGTTTGTCTGAGGAGATGTTGTTCTAAACAGTACAAAAGAAGTCATGAATGGAAGAAATAAAAGCCTCCTGGTGATGACAAATAAATTGGATCTTTACATTTCCTAAATTTTCAGAAGCAATTCCAAGAAAAATTCAAATTAAATAGGAATCAAGCTATTTTTGTTCTTAGTAAGTTTGAGAATTTTTTTGTTGCATTATACAAAAATAGATATTTTTGTATAATATATTGAAAACTTAATGTTGCTTATGAAGACTTAATAAGACTGAAAAGGAAAAAACCAAATTATATGGGAAACACCAGATGGACTGTTACAAGGCTGCTCAGTCTGGGAATGTAATGCCCTTATAAGATGTGGGACTTGGTCATTTACAGACATGAAGGATGCATAAGCCTTTCTGTAGGAATCTCTTATTAATAATACAAGAAATATTTGTGAATCTAGTTTCAGTAGTTTGTGAGTAAATGTCTAGGAATCCTTCATGCAGGTTGGTTGCACAGCTCTAGCCCAGGTAGTCTGAAAATGCTCAGATTTTTGACTACTGGGAAGGTTTTGATACAGACAATCTTTTCCTTTAGTTATTTTCACCATCTTCGTGTAGTCATTGACTGTATGACAGTATCCAATAATTTTTTTCTGTATAATTTAAAGATATCTATAATGAAAAATCTATTATCTATAATGAAAAATCACCAGTTCTGAGCCTCTACATATGCCAGCATAACTTCTGGGTTCATGCAAAGCTTAAATACATGGTGATAGTGATACCCCAATGTCTTGGAAGGGATCAGAACTCCTGCTAAGGGTTTGGGTTCAATAGAGAGAATTGTGGTATTACTGAAAATAGATAGGATAGCTCATAACAAAGACTGGAGCATTGGTAAGTTACAGGGAAGCATCAGTGTTGTGTATATATACATTTTTTTTATGGTCTGGAACTTCTCACACTTTTCCTTTTTTTTCTATATGTACTACAGACTAGCTAACATAAACTATGTAGAAATTGTTTTTGAGGTGGTGAGAATCACACAGTAGGAAATGTGGAGGTGGTAGAGATCAGATAAGGAGAGGGAGAAGATGTAAATAAGTGAAATAAATGAATTAAATTGTAGACTCTTTCCTATGACTGTTCACTTTAAAGTCATTACAGTTTTCAAAGTCTGATGTTTGATTAGCCTTTTATATGACTGTATCTGCAAAGAACTTTGAAGAAAGTCAGTTGTGTACTTTTGTTTGTTCTGTCTGCCTGTGCATGTTCACGTGTAATTCATTTGCCACACATTCCTCCTTAGCAATCACCAAAGAGATAACTCTTCCCATTTGCTTACTCAAGTCACTCCCTGTTTGTCATTCCTGGCTCTTTCTTGCATCAAAACTAGGCTGCAGACATCAGGGCTCATTAACTCCATTGCACTTTCCATTCAAGGAGGTAGATGAGGAAATCTAGAATATTTTAGACTAAACTCTAAGTTTTCCATTAATTGAGATTAATTTGGGATTCTAACATGGACTTTACTTGAAGGGAAGAGACAGATGGACAGTGCAGCCATATATGTTGAAGTGTTGGTTTAGAAAGTCTAGAGAAGGTTTGTTGCAAAGTGACCGTTCTCTGGGGAAAAAAGAAGGGAAGTGTCTTATCCAGTTAAGTCATGTTTACCAATATCAAGGAACAAATTTCATATACTCAGTCTTCTCTGGAGAAGAATATGAAGGCTCAATCTTTGTGCTGATGCGTTGAAGTGTGTTGGGACCACGCAGAAGTTGGGTTGTGAAGCTGCTGCTGCATCTGGGAGCTCCAACAGGAGGGCTGTAACTAAAGAGTTTATGCTAAAGTTGTGAGAACACACCTGTCTATGCTCTACGGCTAAACCTAAAGATGTACTCAACCCACAACCTACATAGCTCATGAAAGCAGGTTTTGAAGCCATGGAAAAATGTTCCTATCTCAAATTGTTTTCAAGAGCGCCTCTATGGCCAACCTCAAGAGATGGAGTGAGCTCCAGACTCTCCTGATAGTGTTTTTTCTTTGCCTAACAGCACAATTCTGATTTTGGGAGTCCTATTTTCCTGTTAGCTACCCTCTCAACAAGGGAAGCAGTTAGTTTCAGACACTAAGAAAACCTTAAAATTTAGTGAACAGATTTTAATAATACAGGAAATCTCTTTCACTGCTCGCTCCATTTTAAGAGGATTAGGAAATTAAAGCTAAGCAATAGCATTTTACTGTGTTCTGGCTGAGGTAGACTTTGTACTGGAGGTGGCTGTAAGCACAGTTAGGTTCCTTTTTTTCTTGGAAAGTTTACAACAAAGGTTGCTTTCACAGCTTGTCTTGGGCAGTCCACACTTTATGAATGGGTTGATCTGTCACTTGAAACTCGATTCATACTTACACAAAACGTAGCTAGATTAGTTGCACAACTTACTTAAAAAAAATAAGTTATGATCTTTATGTCAAGGGAAAAGAGATTTGCTTACCAAACTCCTCAAAGTAGGAATGCACAGAGGACAGTAGAGGAAAGTACAAATGTTGCTTGCTGTAATGTGAATAATTCCCTTTTTTCATCTGTAATCACAAGTTTGGGTTTGTTGAACATTGTAGAGGAACTGAAGTTGTGTGTGTGCTATGAAGAGATTTGCCTGCTGCATGTTTGGCACCAAAAAGGTGTGAAACTTCTCTGAAAAGCATTTCTCCTCGAAGGTTCCTTGGCTTCAAAGAACTGGCAAATAATTCCTTTCATGTCTACTTCTATTCTGTTTATCCCTATAAGCATCCATCTGATTATGAATATGAAAAGCACCAGCTGAGCAAGACATTGTTGTCATCCTTAGGAAGGTTTTGACACAGGCAGAAAACAAAAATGGAGACACAGAGTGTCAGCTAAAGCTAAAAGACACTGACTGGGCTGTTCTCTTTCATCCTTACTTTCCAGAGAAGCCAGCTCAGAGTACTTGCTGTGTTTGAGTTCTAACCTCTAGCAAGGCAGGGCTTGATCCTCATTAGGTTAGTTAGTGGATGTCTTTTATCTGGGTAGAAAAGGAATCAATTTTCATGACTAGAACCTTGCTTAACCAGATTGTGTAATATCTTACTGATGAGCCAACAATAAGGTGACCTATTGGACACTGTGTTTGATATGTGTATGTCCTTTGCAAATTACCTTGTTATAAAGGCTGTAACTATGTATTTTTGATATGTTTACAGGGGTGACCCTTCAATTGTGAAGCTGAATATTGCTATTACCACAGGCTACCTCATTTCTGGTAATTATGCAATGTGTATATAACACATACAACCTGTATATTTATATTGAGTGACTACACCTATATATTCATACTAAGCCGCTATGCTGAAGATGTGATATGTGCATACAATACAATTTCTACTGTGACTTTATAATTGCTAATGGAGTTGTGGGTTGTGGTGAAATCACAGGATCTTGCTAGCAGATGTGAAAGATGGAATATCTCCCCAAGCACTGAGGAAATGCCACAGTGTGGCTTTGTGACGGTTTGATATGCAACCACCAACTCCAGCTCAGTTTTGTCCTTTGGCCAATCGAGGAGGTGTTAGAGCAATGCCCTTCACTCCCTTCACAGTGTCTACAACTTGTAGCTTTTTTATCATATGTTTCTTCCTGTGACCTCAGAATGCTGGCAGAAGAATTTTAGTAGCCCTCCATACAAGCCGAGGCAAATGATGCCATTGGATCTTGCCTGTCCGTCTTTTAGTCTCACTTTAAGCCAAAAGTTAGTCGTGTATAGAACAGGGAAGTTTTAAATTATTTTCTTGGTATGGTCTTTACTCCTACATATGTTTTATGTTCTTAATTTTGCTGTCTACTAAAATTGTCATGGAAATTTTTCTACAAAATGCTTTGGAGCTTTCTTTTATGTTATGTGGGGAAAATAGCGACTTATCTAAATAAAAACTTGTGACTTGAACTACTTTCAGGGAAAACTTCTCGTGTTAGGATGAAGTCTCTGACCAGAGACTGGGCTGTGGACTTGTTTATCTCTCAGATTAGATTACTTACCCTAGTGGAATTGATAATCTAGTGATTGGCACATTCAGTTAAACTGTAGGTTAGTTTAAGTCTGTTTTTTCCATACCTTCTTCTCCCATGTTTAAATTAATCAGTATCTATTTTTGAATAATTATGCATTAGATTTTAATTATGAATTAATGAATGCCTTTGAACAGGGATCTCAACCTGGCCACTCATTCTCTCTCACTTCCTTATATAGTTAATGTTTAATTATTAATAGGAAGTGGAATGGCTATGTCAGATGATATAGAGCCCTGCCTGAGGATAGCTAATATAAAAGAGATCAAGGCAGACACTTGACATAAAAAAGACACAGGGGTAAAATCTTTGATTTGGAACCTTGGTCACTAATATTCCAGTCCAAAGTACTCACTTGGAGAAAGCAGGGTCAGAAATTGCTTGTTCCAGTACAGAAGAGAAAATCTGAAATCTCAGGCCATCATGAGAGAAGAAAGAACTTTTCTGTTAAAGCTTTCCCTATAACATTAACTCAGATCCACTATGTCATTTTTGCAGTAATTGGAAAATTTGGATTAAATAAATATGCTTCTCATTCCAAGTGCCTTTTGCAAAATATTTTGGTAAATGCTTCCCTGTTCTTGATTCAGAAGTTCCCCATAATAGATCCCTGCATTTATTGCATGTATTTGTGTATTTACTATGCCCCCTGTAGACCCCTCACCTTTTTTTTTTTTGTCACTTTTTCCAGATTTCTGGGGTCTGAAGTGTGAAGTCACTATGAGATTCAGGATCCACTTTTTTTCCAAAATATTTCAGCTAAAGTTATTGCTTTTGTCCTTCCATTGATGGGGAAAGTAATAATTTATTGCAATTGTTGGGAGAATACTGTTGCTTAATGTTTTGACTGAAGTGAAGTCTTTAGGATAAAGATGCTCTCTTCAGAGATAATTAATTCAAAAAGTTTCTACTGATGCCCTATCTTGGCATATCTCTAAAACTTAGAGAAACTATTCTGAGGTCAATGGTTGTATAATAAAATGTTCTTTATAGTTATTTCTGTTCTTTTGTAGATCTGTTGCTTATTATTTACTACTGGAAGGCAATTGGTGACAAATTTTTTGTAATACATCACTTGGCAGCTCTGTATGCTTACTATTTTGTACTGGTAAGTGCTGTATTTTCTAGTAACATAACAAGCAGATGAGATTGAAGACAATGCTTTTATATATCTCATTTGCTTAATGTTTAAAAAATTTTTCACTTGCTAATGAAAAGCATATTTATACTTTCAATGATCATTCTTACTAAATGTTTTTATCTGTTATTTGTGGTAAGCACATGCCTTTTCAGCGTTACACTCCTTCAACAAAAATGTGTAATGGCTGAAGTTAAAACTCTTCTCAGTTTTTGCTGTAAAGAGGCATTGACAGAGGGGCTTTTCATATGGTTATAGAAAAGGGTTTCAAATAAAAGCACAAGCTTGAATATGTAGTCGGAAAATTAGAAGGACATGGTTTCAAGTCGTTATGTTCTGTTTCTGTCTCCCAGGTAACAAGTGACAGGATGAGAGGAAATAGCCTCGAATTGTGCCAGGGGAGGTTTAGACTGGGTATTAGGAAGAATTTTTACACTGAAAGGGTGGTCAGGCATCAGAGTAGGCTGCCCAGGGAAGTGATGAAATTGCCGTCTGTGGAAGTGTTCAGAAGGTGTGCGGATGTGGCAGTTGGGGATATGGTTTAGTGGTGAACACGGCAGTGCAGGGTTAACAACTGGACTTGATCTTAAAGGTCTTTTACTACCTTAATGTTTCTGTGATTGTATTTGCAAGGCCATAGGTCAGTGATCCCTAACTGTGGTGAATGTACTATAGTCAGGTGGATGTGTATTTTCTGGGGTAGGTTTTTTTCTCTTCTGTTTCATGACTTTTTTTTTTTTTTAATCAGTTATGACAAAGTGATCCTCTGAGACTTCTTGTTTAAGGTTGCTTTGGTGGGGAAACAATAGACCATTAACTGTTTTATATCTATAAAGATCTGTAGTGCACATACAATGAGGGGAAAAGGGGAAGGATTGTATTATAGGATAAAGACTAAGATACTCATTGCTGCTGCTGGAATTTCTCAAAGATGTCCAGGTAACTTGGTAGAAATCCCTTTGGTGTCCAGAATAGAATAATGCTCTTGAATTTCTTCTGAAAAGCTCATTCTGTAAAGCAGTCTTACAAAATACAATTTACTTCATTTACCCCATTTCTTTCCCTGCCCACTGTGTGAATCCCAGGCTTAAAATATTAAAAGTGTCCAGATGTCAGATTAGTGTCAGATTTCCCATGTAACAGTTTAAAGGGGCTGAAGTATGCCGACAAGTAAATACTCTGTTTCAGGTTGAAGATAATTACATCTACTAATATTATCATGGATGAAAGTGAATTAGAGCTGAATATTAGATAAATGAAAATACCACTACCCAAGCTAATCCCTGATGCAGAAAATTCATTAGTTGTTGCTAGAGTAAACAGAAAATGTAGTGTTAGCGTGAACTTTTAAAGCAGTTGTTATTATTATGTGGATATAGCTCTGCCCTTGGATGAAAGGGCTTTACATGCTCTTTCTGTTGTCAAATTAGAGCTGAGAATTCATCTTTGCTTTGGCAAATTATGTTCCTAAAGCAATGCAGGGAGATTTTTCTTTAGTATACAGTGTTCCTGTTTGGGCTTGTTTAAACATTGAGAAATCAAAAATATTTATAATTCTTTTAGACAGCAATAGTATCATGATAATTATAACCTATGACTACTTGTACAAGTCTTCTCTAGGTACCTTTCCATGGCCACTTAGCTGTAAGTCTTTTAAAGATTTATTTGAAGTAAGAAGCTACTGATAGGAGATTCCTGAAGGGAAATTGCAGCTTTTATGGTAAAACTAATTTTGAAATTGCAAGGAAGGTGGCCACAGCTGGCAAACTCACTATCAGTCTGAATTTCTCGAAGAAATTGAGATGTTGTGTAGTTCTGTGTATACTTGAAGACTTTAATGACAATTTCACGTCTACATTGTTGATTTTTGTATGTCTGTTTTGTTTTGCTAACCAGAGCAAAGGTCTGCTGGCTTATTTTGGAAACTTCCGTCTACTTGCAGAGTTCTCCACTCCTTTTGTCAATCAACGGTAAGTGGTTAGGGAATGTTTCCACAGTTCTTTTAAAATCTAACCTGCATTTATATTTCTGTCAGGAAGGTTTTTTGTAGTTTTTGAATGTCTACTGAAAGGGAATTTATATATATTGAACTAAGGATTACTATCTGGAAGTCTTTTTTGCTCTGAAGATGTTTTGCTGCTATAGCTGCAACACTATAACTGATGTATTCAAGCCATAGTTCCTTTTTAGATTAGACCAGACTTCATATGAAATGCCAAAATTTATGAAAATACCAAACAAAAAAGTTCACAAATGGGTGGGATAATGGAGCTCTCCAGAGGGTACTTTGATTTACACCAGTGCAGTTGAGTAGGAGATTATAGTTTAATGTAGCCTGTGCTCTGTGTGTGCAGAGAAACTAAAGAGTAAATAAACACTTCTTAAAACTTAAAAGGGTGATACTATATTCTAGGTTTTACATTGATATTCATGTTCTAGGGAATGGCTGTTCTCTCAGCTGACTTCTACCAGGACAGAAATTCTTCCTGGGTTTCAGTGGATACCTGTACTGATGCTTACCTTTCAGACTGTGGCATTAGGAAGCATCATGATACATCTGGCTATTAAAAGTAATTTATGTTACATTTTAAAAATGCCTGTGGTGAGATCACGAGTCTTTGAATACTGACATTCAGGCCTTTCTCAGAATAACAGAAATCACTGCAGGAGATAAAGTCCCTTGCACTAAGGGATGTCATCTCATTAGTGCATGATTTTTTTCCCCCATTAAATTTGAAGAGAATCAGACCCTTAAGACAGTAAGTAGCAGATAATGATAATGACTTACATTATGTTTCTTGTTTGCATTCTTAGTATTACCAAAAGAGCTATTATTAAAATATAAAAAGATATTCTAATCTCAGAACTGTCTGTGTATTTCCTGTCTGTGTTGTTAGGGGTCTCTAATTTCAGATCTTGTCTCTCTGCCAAGCATTTAGATATTTTAGTGTTAGTATCAGCATTTATATAATTAATTCTGAACTGTGATGGGTAAAATTGTAATGGTAACTGTGATTTACAGACTTCTATTTTTTTTTTAAATTTGCTGGGAGAGGGAAGTTGCTAAGCCAATGTCCAGTTACCTATTGGCACATTGCAGTATATTTGAAAACCATTTTTTATATTACTTTTTGATTCTGCATTGTACGTATCATTGAAAGTACAGGCTTTGATTGTTAGTCTGACCAAACATATTAGGTCTTTCTCTTCATCATCCCAGTAGGTGTTCTGTGGTGAAGCATCCTGCTTCCAGGCTAGACTGGCACCTCGAGTGTCTGGATTTTAATTGTCCTAGTTGCATGCTTAATGAATTTCTGGAGTATTTCTGTTAGAGCTGGATGTCTGGCAAATCTTTTTAGTATATCTATAATTACTTAGGTTGCAATCTGTAGGTAACTAAATTAAAAATTACTTTTAAAATCAGTTTTAGAACTGTGGGGTTTTTTTTTGTTAAATACTTTTAGCCTTGTATTTTATTGGAAATTAGTGAATTAATTAATTAATTGGAAATTAAATAAACTGGTTATTTCATTCCTTTCCCCATCATGAACACAGTGATTTAAAATATTTTCCTCTGGTCCTGTCTGCCATTGCTGCACAAATTTTACATATGTTTATTCTGGTTTAAGTATGAGTGGCAAAGAATTAGGAGTTTATTATTCCTTTTTCTAGGCATTCAATCTTCAGGCTCTGTATGCCAGGCAGTAGATAAGTTATGCCTGTCTACTAAGGAATTACTATGCAAGAATTCTTGTTTAAAGACCACTTGTGACCCAGTAGTAGATGGAGAGGCAGTTTATTTAGAGTTATCTTGTTCATTGCATCACATTCCAAGCTGAGACTTGGTTGAGAGCCATTTACAATGTCTGTTTTTGAAGTTCCAGTTTTGGTCTGAAGAGCAGCAGTCAGAAAATACCAATTATGATAAATTAGAGCTCTATCTAGATTACCATACCCAAAGACAATTCTAGAATTGCTTTCAGAGAAACAAAGAGGATTTTAGTTGCCCATTGGTACAAATTGTAATAGTAAGTAATAAATTTAGCTTCATAATTTTAAAAGATAATTTTATTATTGTTTATTACACAATAGTCACTGAAATGCACAGTGGTTGTCAACTGGTTTACAATTCACATTAGGATTTTCTATGTGTTATTCTGCAATGTACAGGCTATGACACACTGCTTAAATGGCAGAGAGAAAGTGCAGCCAAGCAGAAGAATTTGCAGCTGAGCCAAGATACAGTGCAATAATTTTGAAATTAGAAGGGGTAGAAGCAATTAATAAATTATTAATTAAAAATAACCATGAAGTTAAATAATTTTTAAATGAGATGGCTTCAAGTCTGCCTGGTATCTGTGAACACTTCTTTTGCAGGTGGTTTTTTGAAGTACTGGGATATCCCAAATCTTCAAAGGCCAACATCATGAATGGTGTGCTGATGACAGTTGTGTTCTTCGTGGTGAGGATTGCCGTCATGCCTATATATTACAGCCACGTAATTGCTTCGTTTGGAACAGAAGCTTTCCACAGATTAGGATTTGCAGCCCAGAGCGCCTGGATTATCTCGAGTGTTGTCTTGGATATTATGAATGTGATGTGGATGGTCAAAATTGCGAAAGGATGCTACAAGGTCATTTGTCTTATTGGACGGGAGGAAGCCAAAACTCACAGAAATGGAAAATCTGCCTAGAAATCATACATAAAATGAAATTTCTGCTATGAAAATAATTTGGGTTCACTGAAACAGTGCACATTTCTGCCATGGAATGCTCCTATTGAGGAAACAAGGTATTACCTCTGTACTGACCTTACTCCTTCCCTAGCCACACTGCCTGCACACCCAAGGCCACGCTTTATGGATCCCGTCCCGTGAGGAATAAAAGCAAAAGCTCACACAGATGAGTTCCACGTGTCTGTTCTAAGCAGTTACAAGCTACAGAAATTAGAAAGGAGTAGACTGGTTACTTGCTTGTCGTCCACCAGTGTGTTCGAAATGTTTCACTCAGGTTTCTCAGATTAATGTGTTTTATAAATCCAGTGAATACTGACATATCTCTTTTTTTTAGAAAATGAAAAATTCCCCAAACTCCTGATATGGTGCAATTTTCCAGTCACGTTTCTATGTTTTCTTCTAGGAATAACAATCAAGATTCTTGACAACTTTTTAATTTTTGCAAGAGAAGCTAAAAGTTTGGCTTTGATTCTGTGAAGTCTTTTACTGCTTTTTGTTCTGCCTTATACAAATGCAAACCGTTTTTGGAAATTTATGAAATAATTTTATCTAAAATGCTGTATTATAAGACTACATAATATCTTAAAAATTGTTAAAATTCACATTTTGATGGGAAGGATTCACACTTGCTGTGCTAGATTAGATGCAATAGTACATCTTCTAGGTTGCCCATGGAATTTTTTTTGTAAATTAATATGGTAAGTGATGTGTGAAAACAACGTAATTTTTACTGGAGTGCTTTTTCCTTTGCTGCTACTACCTTTGAGAAGTGCTGCAACTCTCCTTGGGTATTTTTAACCATTGGCTATTTGAATTCAGTTTAATTGCAAAGGGATAGAATTCTTCTGTATACATGAGGTATAACTTCCAGTAATGGTTTTTTTTCTTTTCTCACAGAAATGGCATATTTGATATGAAGTCTTGAGGTTTTTTGTCACATTTTCCATGTAAATCCAGTCAGAAGTCCAAGGTGTTGACTAAAAACATTCTTGAATTAACTGTGCCAAACTTCTGTAAAGCTGTACAGTAATTCTGTAGAAGGAACAGTTCACCTCCGTAGACACAAAATTTTATTTTTTTTTTAACCACACATTTGTCAATAGGTACTCAGTTCCTCCTTCTCTGAACTTGAAGGTCTGGAGGTCATCAGAGAGGAACCTTATCATCTAGGAATAGTCTTAAATCTAACTTACAATACAATTTGAGAAAATTCTGAGTTTTGTTTTATTTTAAAATGATTTTGAGAGCTATATTCGTCTGTAAATTGGTTTTGTTTTGCTTACTTTTAACCATATTGGAATCGGGACTGATTAACTTCTAATTTTTTTCCTTGGTGTAGTTTTGCTTTGTTTTGTGGTTTTGTTTGTTTGGTTGTTTTTTTCCACATTACTTGTTATTTCTTGTAACCTCTGGTAAGGTCTAAAAGTATCCATTTTCCCAGAGACTCTAGTGCACATCCCAATTATTGTGGCAGTGTATTTATTTTTAAAGAAAAAGATAAAGCATTTACCCTGTGTAGGATGATAAGTCCTGTTCCCTCTGACAAAGCTGGATGATGTGAGCTCTCCCCTCTGCTGTCAGAGGTGTGAGTGCCCTGTGCTGTGCGCTCTGCTGAGGGACTCGGCATTCCTGTCTTCCAGGACTCAGATGTCTGTAAGACCCCAGGAGGACTGCGCAGGCTGAAATGCCCTATAATCAAAGCAGCTGCAGTGACTTTAGTACCCGAGTTAAAATGCTGTCAGGGAGTATTGTTTGGACAAGTGTAACACATGCTTTTAAAAGCCTAATTTCACTGTTTAGCTGGGCAGGCTTTTTTCTGAAATCGTTTCCCAATCGTGCCTTGTTAGCGGAGAAAGTAAGGATTGTTAGTACTTCTGGTTTTTGGATTCTATGGTTATTAATACTTCACAAGCCCGCAGACAAAAGATCTGTTTATGCCTTGGGAGAGCTGGCAATTAATCTGCTGAGCTGTATGATTTGTGTGAGCGCAGTACCTCATTTGGGCACCGCTAAATCCGTAGTCTTTGAGAGTTGATCCTTTGCAGAAAGAAACCGACTCCCTTTTATGCTGATTTGCAGAACCTGGTATCTTTTAAAATGTGATTTCAGTCAATCTAATGCAAAATCTAGGCTTTGTAAAAAGGCTCTGTGTTTCTATCACCTTTATGATTTAAAGGTGTATATGAAGTACTTTTTTCTTGTGCTTTTAGCATCCTTAGATCAGGGAATCGTTTTGTAATAGCTTGTTCCTTTCTAAAATAAGTTGAGTAAATTGAAACATTTTGGAGAATATGTTTGAAAGCAGAAGCCTGCTTTTTTATTTTGTTATTTGGGAAGTAGGATGAAAAAAATCGATAAGATGATTTGGAGCAACTTTTAAGGTCATAACGCATGAAAACATTCTGAAATTCATAATTTAGCATTAATCTTTAATATTTCAGTATTTTAAATATTTTGTTCTTTGTGGAGACCATTCATTAAAATGGTCTATTTCTTCCATTTATAGATAGACTTGTGTCTGAGGGGGGTGGGGTGGGAAAAGTAAGTCAAGCTAAAATAAAATTAATGTTAAAACTTGATTTAAAAGAAAAAAAAATCCAAACTCGGCATAATACACTTTGGGCAACAATCCAGAATTGAAGGGCAGTGAAATAATTATTTTTAAAAACAGCTAGTACTTTGCATTACTGTACAAATTTAGTGTAATTAAAACTCTATTTTACAATACATTAGGTTTAAATTTTCTAATTTTTTTTAAACAATATTACAGTTATGTCCTGATGTGTCCACTGTGCATCAGAAGACAATTTTCTTTGAAAAAAACTATTAAGACCTGTGATTTTGGCAAGGACTTTAGTAAACAGGCTGCAAAGTTGTGATGTACTGAATACAGTAGTACCGGGCACTTTTTGCCTACTATTAAAAGCTCATAATACAGCAAATTAGATAGCTGTGGCACCAATTATTTTAATTGCACTTTATTAATTTGAAAAATGTGGTGAAATATTGATGAAATTCAATGTTGCAAGCTTGTGTCTTCCTTATGCAAGAGAAGTAAATGCATGATAAGTAGCATTGTAACAATTGCTTTTGAATGTAATATCTTATTAGTGGCTTAAAACTTATATTTTTAACAGATGCATTATAAAAGCAGACTCTTGGCATGTCACCAGGTGTCTTTGCTGTGGACATATCAAATGGAAGGACTTAATCTTGTAAAAATGTTCAGCTATCTTAATTTTTTTTCCTTTTCCGTTCTTCAGTACGAGGTGACATAAAATCAGCTTGATGATCATGGGAGAGACTATTTCTAGTGGTAAGGCTGTATGTGGGAATGCAAGTTTCCCTTTTTTATGACATTACATTTTCATCAAATGGTTAGTAAATACCACTTTCAGAAAGGCTACAGGGGAATGGTAGTTGAAGTTCTGTTTTTGTAGTTGATTTGTAGAATCAGTACTTGCAGAAAGGAAATACACTTCAAATACTCATTTTCTCAATGAGTGTTTCAGTGGATTTCAGTGAAGTCGAGAGCCTCACACTACAGAGATGCTTTATGGTTATCTAAGCGAATTCTTCAGTGGTAAGAATTACATCCCTGAAGCCTACTCTACCTCTATACATACATACTATCTTGAGTGAGCTCAATAACTTAATTGGTTACAAAATAGAATCTGTTGAGTAATGAAATATAGCCTATGCACAGGAAAACGAGGGTAGCTGACTTCATATACTAATTCTTAAGAATTCCAAATTTTATACTAAAGTTTATTAAAAATTAGTTACGGTATCTGGAAGAGAATTACTTCCATCTGTACTTAAAATATTGTGGGAGAAAATTACTTATACTGCAGAACAAACATTAGCCTAAAAGTAAAAGCTTACACAAGCGAGCAAATGCATTTAGGCAGGTTTAAAGAGGAGAGCTGGAGGAGACTGAGAACACACATAGAGATCCAAATGTCTTCCTACTGCTGTGATTGGATCAACAGCAGACTGATACATAGCAGGAAGGTTTAGGTGTTTCTGTATCTCTGTTTGCAGTGGAAAATGAAACTTTATTCTTTAAAATTTTCAAGCTGTATAAAATGGGATATCAGTTGTTGATTACTGTATGAAGAGGACTTTTCTCATGGCTTTGTGTGTGTTTAAGCATATGTATATACAAGTTTTCTGTAAAAGACCACTTAATAGAGAAGTTTGTAAAATTGTTTTGTGATGCTTCTGCTGAGCCATTCAAAGAAAAATAAAGGGCTGCTTGACAATTTCTCCAGTTTAGGGTCTGGTGCAGTGTTGGCTGCTGGGGAAAGCCATCAATAAAGCAAATAGAAAGGGACTAGAATTTTCAGATTAAAAAGTGCAAGTGTAGAAGACTTTGAAAAGTATCATAGCCCCCTTTCATATTTTTAATAGCCTACTGTACAACGTTATCTGGCTACAAGGAACTTCATGAGGGAAGGTTTGTTCCTGGTTGAATTTCTCTGTCTAGGGAACACAGCTGGAAAAAGAACAGTACTTAATTGCTGGGATTCTGACAGCAGTCAAATGGAAATAATAATAATATTTATGAACTTTTAACATTCATCTAAACCTGGATAAAATTTCTGTTGGACAGGTGAAGGTCTTAGGATTTTCTGAGGAATTTGAAAGTTCTTTTTTTGGCAGAGAAGATGAAAGAGGTGCTGCTTGGGTTGTTTGGAGATCTGGGATTATGCATCAAATCATACTTTTAGGTAAAAACTCTTGGTAAGGGTTCTTACCCATTAAAAATTTCTACTAGCTATCTCCTTTGACATTCTTGCTCTATTTATAATAACCAAGCACTTTATAGCTCAGTAAAGAATGAATGGAAGGTAGCTAGGAGAAATAAATTGTATCATTTGGTATAAGAAATATTTTGGCAAAGTTTCTTCTGAGAACAGTTTCATTGTGTGATGTCCTGCACTGAGGCCATCCGTTTATAACAAAGTACATACATTTTTAACCTAGTTGTAATATAAAAGAAATGTCTCTAAAAGAGTGAATTATGAAGAGTTCAGCATGGCTTGTTATCAACCATAATGATTCAGTGTGCTATTTATAACTTCCTACTTACTGAAGTTGAAAATATAAAAGCAAATAAAATATTCTGTATTGTATCTTTATTTTTAATCTATGTGTGGGATGTCAAACATCGTACTTGTCTTGTGGACAGGACATGCTTTTATGAGCCTATAAATATTTAAGTATATGAGAATCTGCACCCAAGTGGAACATGTTGCATGTAAATTGTCTTCTAAGTTTTTAAATTTTGGTATTTTTAAAAATTTGCTAAGTTTGAAAGCAACATTTAAATATTAATACTAAGCTGTAATACAGAACACAACATTTTGAATGCAATGTGGCATATATTGGTTTTGTTTATTGTAATCCTATTCCAGTTTCACAAGAGAAATCCATCAAATGGTGGGGGAAGGGAGGAAAAGGGCTAATCATGAGCTCGGCTATATAATTTGCACATTTAATATGCACATATCCAAATATCCTGGATTTGTTTCTAGCATGCATATGTCAAATGGTGTTTTCTTTAATATTGACAGATACCTGTACATGTAGAATAATTTAACCTGTAAGCACAGCTAACCTGTTATAAAACCAAATTACAAAACCTGTTGGGAACAAATGAGTTACAAGTTAAGCATAAGTAATGGAGCCTGTAATTCAAAAATATTTATACCTTCTATCTAAGAAGAAACTTGATAAATATATCTAACTTATGTGCAGAGCAAGGATGAAAACCGTAGATTCTGCTAGACTGATTTCTGGTAAATCTTGACAATCTGATTTGCAGTAAATACTAATACTATCACAAAATGTCAGGACCACATTATTGAATTCAACTAGTAATGTGACCTGATTGTAGTAGCAATCCTTATCATGGCACAAGAACTTGAAAATGCAATATAACAATTCTGCAGATTGGTGATAAATGTAATCAGTCATAATAAGGCAAATGATTAAGTATTGTGGGTTTAAATTTACTTTTTATTACAAGAAAGAATCTGAATTATTTGTTTGCATTTCAGTGATACTGTAAGGCATTTCTATATTTGTTTGAACAGTTTAGGAGCTTGCATAAAATGATATTGGCTGATTTTTTTTTTCCCTTTGATATATGCAATAATGTCAATAAGCAATAAATTGCATGTTGTATGCAAGGTATTGGTACTTCATAATAAAGGAAAGGAACACACTTTCTTATTTTGTGAATTTTTCTTTCTTATATGGCAATAGCTTATGTACCTATAATGAATGCATCATGAAAGAACAATTTTCTTTGGGTTCAGTTCCATAACAACTGGCTTATATGGTATCTTGAGATTTCATACTGTATCTTCTTTATTTAAAAAAAGGTGGAGATGAGAGTTGCTCAGGTGGCTGGACTTTTCGAGGCTGAAATTCTATGTAGAACATCACTGGGGCCAGGAGTGTAAGTTATACTATAAATTCTCTTGTGTATTGGGGAATAACTTCTATGTTGGATAGTATAATTATATTGCACTGTCTTATAATACTGCATGTTTCAGGACATAAGCTGGGCAGCTGTCTGAAGGCTCCAGGGAAAAAGAGCTGCTGTTGGCAGTGTATTATAAATACGATGTGCTACACAGTCCCTTACTGAATACTAAGATGGGCAACTAAGTTCCTAAATATGGCAATTCCTATATTCTGTATGTGCAGTGAATGTATGCCTAGGAAGCATGAATCGTGTGGTAAAACTCAGAGGTTTCTCTGAGCATCCTCGCAAAAAGTTGCTGCTGTTTTATGTCTTAACTGCTGGCTTCCAAGCACAAGAATTACTCATGTTACTGTGGGTTTTCTTTTGTGTTATGCAATGGTTAAATTACTAGAAGAAATCACAAAGCAGTGAGGTGCTTTTCCTTTTTTTTTCCCCTCTCATCTTTTGAGAGGTATTTAGTCGCATATGTAGATTATTCTTAGGGTACTAATTTTACACTGTTAGCATAGAGAATTACTCATTAACTAGTTGGTCTGTTTGGAAGTGAGTGTTAACGTCTGGGAACAGATATTCTTTGGGGTCAGATGCTATATAGGTCAGATTTCCAACTGCTTGAGGAAAGACAATGGGGGCTTGGTAGGAGGCTTTTGTATTGGCATTGGGCAGCTTTTAACACTGAATGGTGGAGAGGAAGAACTGAGCATGGCTGGGAACTAGGGATGCCTTTCAGTGAGCCGTTCTTAACATGATACATTCAAGAAGTCTTGTTTAAAGTGTGAGAAACATTATACCGCCTTAAGATGTAGGATATAGAAAGTATTTTGTATATCGCTTCTTTGTCATACTCCGATGCAAAGTTGCTCTTTATTTCCTCCCATATTTTTTTTATTACTCTCTGTGTTCTTGCTAAAAACTTTATTTTCTCTCCTCATATTGGTGTGATAACTACACTAAGATTTTTAACATTTTTTATTTAATTTTCACAATGGACATCTCATTTTTTGGAGATGGACTACTGTTTTATCTTTTGCTCTGCTTTTGTGGAGTTCACAGTGCAGTATACCTAAGGGTAGATTGTGTGCTTTGTTGACATTGTGACCTTGGTGTTCTTTGTAATGCTTTACATAGAGTAAAAAGTATTTGCTACTTGGCTTATCTTACAGAGGGGGAAAACTATTATCTATACAATGACTAATAATGCAGTTGTTGCTTCTGGTGGAGTGTGATGGTGAAAAGCAGGGAGACGGCACATCGACATCAACAGCATTATGTACTTTGAGAAGGGAGAGTAGAACCAATTCCCTGTTTGAGAACATCAGAGAGAGAAAATCTGGTTTACCTTAGAGTCCTTCTGCCACTGACTTGAAATATTTAGAAGCAGAGATGTTAGTTGATCTATGGGAGGATCTTATTAAACTGTATTGTTAAGTGAAGACAGGCTAAGAGACTTGCGGTTGTTCAGCCTGGAGAAGAGAAGGCTCTCTTAGACACCTTAGAGCCCCTTCCAGCACCTAAGGGGGCTACAAGAGAGCTGGAGAGGGACTTTTTACAAGGACATGTAGTGATAGGACAAGGGGGAATGGCTTGAAAGTGAATGAGGGCAGGTTTAGATTGGATACTAGGAAGAAATTCTTCACTATGAGGGTGGTGAGGCCCTGGAACAGGTTGCCCAGAGAAGCTGTGGATGGCCCTGTTGAAGGCCAGGTTGGGGAGTGGTTTGAGCAGCCTGGTGTAGGGGAAGGTTGTCTCTGCCCCTGGCAGGGGACGTAAGCTTCAAGGTTCCTTCCAACCCAGACTGTTCTGTGATTCTGTAAGTGCAGCCAGTGAAGACTTAAAATTATTCTACAGCTTATCCAGCTGTTACTGTGAATGTGGTCTTAGAGACTGCAGCGAAGCCTAAATTGGGAAATGATGGAGGCAATCAGAATGTTTTCTAAGGCATATAATAGAGACTCAATTACTGCCATGATGCCTCTTTTTTCTATCTTGAGGTTCTCCATATGCTGTGCTAATAATTCCTGCATGCAGAAAGGGTAGAAAGCAATTTACTCCTAAGTAATCGAGACTATAAAAGGGCAAAAAATGACTAAAAGGATGAATATTTGATATTGCTTTATCCTTGTATTTTTATTTCATGTTCACACTGAATGGCAATGTCCTCGTTAATAAGAAAGATCCTATTTTGAAAGACAGTATGTGAACATGATCTTAACAGCACTCTTGAGAAGAATGTATAAAAGAAGTTTTTTAATTCAGGTAGTAAAATGGTTTGAAATAGTGCTGGTTAGAACTGCTTCAGTGTGGTTTAGAATTTGTCTATCAATCCTTCTGATCTTTTTCAAAAGAAATGGCAGAGAACCACTCATTTCTGTCTCTACATGCAGAGTGTGTAAGTGACCTCTCTTCCAGATTTGAATTTGGATTTTTTTCATCCTAAATTACTGTAATAACTGTGCCACTTGAAGATTAAATTCCTTTCTACTTTAATTGTTAAAATGAAATAGAATATTTGGGGAAACAATATTTTTCTAATCAGTTCTAATTGTTGCATGTTTATAATGAATGTTTCTCATCTCCCCACCTGCTTTTTGCACCTGACAGCCTCTTTAGAGTTCATGCTTTGGGATGAAGATTGAAATAGTCCTGCGGAATCTCTGCCCACTGTTACAGTATAGCCAGGTGTTATCACCTGTTGGTCAAAAGGGATGGGATGGAGGTAAGTCTTCCCTGGTCTGATGCACTATGAGCTTCATCGTTTGTGTGTTATGCACGGAATTTCATGTATGTAGTTAAACTGCATCTTCTGGCTTGAAATAAGGCAATATTCTTAGGAACTTTACTATGTCCATAACTCTAATACTAGAAAGGATACACCTATACAGTATCGGTATGTGCTGCTACTACTTTCAGTGGTACTAGCGGTAGTAACTTGCAGTTGTAAGAGATGATTTCACAGCACGAGGTAAGAGCACATACAACTCGCGGAACGCCGCTGCACGGGGATTAACGCGAGTCCCGGTTCGCGGAGTTCGCTGTCGTCGGCAAGGTCAGAACCAGCCTTCGTGCACCTCGGCGTGGCATGGCCGGGCCCAGCGGCCGCGGGCTCCCCTGCGCCCTCTCCGGGCGGCAATGCCTTGGCATCTGTGCGCTGAACGGGGGACAAGCCTCGCTGAGAACGCCCGGCGGCGCAGACCCCACTCCCTGAGCCCCGGCGGAGCGGGCGGACACGGCGGGGGCGGCCCGTCCCTCCGTCCCCGGGCCCGTCCCTCCGTCCCCGGGCCCGTCCCTCCGTC